CGGATTGGACGAAGTTATGAAGGACGAGCTTTCCCGGAGAGAGGAGATTGGGACTATGGAAGAACTGAAGGCAGTGGTGATCAAATTGGACAATAGAATGACTGAGCGTTGGGTGGAGAGACAGGCTAATGGGCAGAAAACAAACTGGGGAAGAACGCCTAACTTCGTACAATCAACGGCGAAGTTATTGACGTCACCCGCGAAGAGTCCTGTGGGCTCGGTGCCGCTTCCCCCCCCCAGCCGGAGTAACTTAGTGACAGGATCACAGGTTTGGAAACAAGGGGATCCTCTTACCCCTAGGCCAAGTTTCGAACAGAGAGAAAAATGGAGGGCCGAACGAGCGTGCTTGGAATGTGGAGGCCAAGGACATTATGTGAAGGATTGTCCTTTAGTAGCGGCTAAGGTAGCTCAAGGAAAGATGAATCCTCCGGAGATGTGGAAGAGCTCAAGGAATAGGGGAACAGGAGGGAATGCAGTAGCTGTGGGGGAGCCGAGGCAGATGAATGCGGTAGCAGGAGAGGATGTGGATGAGGGAAAAGGCCTGGACCCGTCGGTTTGAGAGAACGTCGGCGGGTCCATTTCTCTGTCCTCTCTGCTGTTGTTCCTTCTCATATTAATAGGAAAGAGCTGACAGTAGCAGAACCATGTGTATACGAAGACGGACATTTCATCACGATACCCATCACTAATGCGAGACAACCAAAGACAAAAATCAACGTTGCAGGGGCCCAGGTGGTCGCCTTATGGGATTCAGGAGAGACTACTTCATATATAAACCCAAAAACAGTGGAGGAGTTAGGATTGGAAGTTATAAGATACCCAGAGGAAGTACCTGTACGTATGTTCGATGGTTCAGAAAGTATCGGTGGCCCCATCACAAAGTTCGTTGAAACAGGGATCCGTGTGTCAGTTGAGGACGAAGTTCATATGATTCGGTTGGATGTCACGAAGTTGTGCGATGCAGATCTGGTGATAGGATGGGAATGGATGAAGAAGGAAGGAGTGATCCTGGATGTTGGGGAGGAGGTAATAAAGATCCCGGGTAGACAGAAAAGAGAGGGGGAGAAGTTAGGGACAGTTTTTGGGTTCAAGGAAGGGGAGGTTTTAGGGCCTAGAGACCCGGCGATGGAAGACGAACTTAGTGAGGAAGAACAAGAAGAACTGCTGGAGTTGGTACCTTCTGAGTACCATGATTTCTTGGATATCTTTAATCCTAAGGTAGGAGGAGAGACGTTACCTCCAAACCGAAGTTACGATTTGAGACTGGACCTAGTGGAGGGGGCAAAGTTAAAGGTGGCCCCACTGTACTCGTTAGCTGAAGATCAGAGAAAAGCGTTAAGGGAGATTCTGGAGAAGGAGGTAGCGGCTGGTAGAATTCGAAAGAGTAACTCGCCTTACGGGTCACCTATGTTCATGGTTCCCAAAAAGGTAAAAGGACAGTGGCGGATGGTGACGGATTATAGGAAGTTAAACGAAGTTACCATTCCAGACGTTTATCCCCTTCCATTGATCAGTCAAATTACTGAGGAATTAGGTACAGCAAACTATTTTACGAAACTCGACTTGATGGGGGCATACCAATTGCTACGAATTGCTGAAGGATATGAATACCTGACAGCATTTCGTACACAATACGGAATGTACAAATCGTTAGTAGTTAGGGATGGTCTACAAAATGTGCCTGCTGTGTTCCAGCACTTCCTGAACGACATCTTCAGGGATTTACTAGGGGAGGGAGTCATAGTGTACATCGACGACATTCTGATTTATGCTAAGACTAAGGAGGAACTTAGGAGATGTACGGTAATGTCACGAAGTGACAAGACAGTTTGATAGTGATAGTGATAGGATGGGTTGGGTATTTAACCAGCGACCGGCGGTATGCAGTAACCGCCGGTTAATAGGCCTTTTAGCACAGTGGTTTAGACTGCTGCCTCTGAAGGGCACTGTTATATCGTCCCAATGCTGGTTAGTTGGTCTCGTGACAGGTAAAGGTACTTCAAAGACTTAGGGAAGCTAAATTGTTTGTGAAGGCGGCTAAGTGTGAGTTCAAACGAACTTCGGTGGTTTTTCTTGGGTACGTGGTTTCAAAATCAGGCATTTCGGCAAACCCAGAATATGTTGCTGCTGTACAGGATTTTCCTTGACCTAAGAATCTACGAGAATCCCGAGAGTTCATGGGAATGGTTAGCTACTATTGACGATTCGTCCCGAACTTCTCGAAACTCGCGAAGCCTCTGAACGACCTTACTCGCAAGGATGTAAGCTTCACATGGGGAACTGAGCAAGAGGAGGCGTTCAGAGTGCTGAAGAAGAAGTTATGTGAAGCTCCAGTACTAGCTCATTTCGACACCTCTTTGAAAACGATCATGCAGGCAGATGCCTCGTTCTTTGGATGGGGATATATTATCTCACAGGTTTATAAAGCAGGTAGGGAACACCCTGTGGCTATAGAATCGGGAGCTTTTAAGGGTGCTGAGTTGAATTATACTCCGGGGGAAAAGGAGTTATTAGCAATAGTCGAAGGTTTCAGGAGGAAGAGACACTTGTTACTACAGGTAGAGACGAAGGTCTTGACAGATCATCTTAATCTGACATATTGGATGGCCCCAAAACAATTGAATCCTAGGCAAGGTAGGTGGGTAGAAGAACTGGCTAATTTCAGGTTTACGTTGGTTTACCGTCCCGGGAAGCAAGCAACACTGCCAGATGCTTTGTCAAGACGACCGGACTATCATCCTGGGATAAAAGGAATAACGACCGAACAGGAGGAGAACTTCGTCCAAGGATTGCCGAAGTTCGACTCGGAAGATGTTACTGAATCAAGCCTGAGACACATGCTCCGGGCCTTACAAGGGACAAAAGAAGTTAGGGAGGAAGATCAGATCGAAGGCGAGGACATTGTTAAAGGATATGAAGTTGATGAAGAAATAAACGAAGTTCGGGAAGGGATGTTAGCAGTCATCTGCGTTGAGTGTTCTCACCCCAAATGTAGAGCTGAACGTCAGGAGCCAAGGCAAGTTGAAGAATTTCGACGACGGTCACGACATGGGATGTTCGTGAACCCATCGTGGTCGGTGAGGGGTTTCCTACGATTCGATGGACGAGTTTATGTTCCGAATATCGAAGAGATGCGAGTAAAGATTTTGAAATCCAGACATGACTCGGTATTAGCCGGTCACCCTGGAGTCGCAAAGACCTTGGAATTGGTACTTAGAGATTACATCTGGAATGGAGTCAGGAAGGATGTGGAAGATTACGTTGGAGGTTGCGTGGTTTGTCAGAGAGCTAAAACAAACAGACAAAAACCTCAAGGAACACTGAAGACATTGGAAGTAGCGGAGAAGCCCTGGTCTAGTATTTCGATGGACTTTGTTGAAGAACTTCCGGAGTCTAATGGTTTCAACTCGATTTTGGTTATAGTTGACCGGTTGACGAAGTGGGTGATGTTCCTACCAATGACAACGAACCTCACAGCTGCGGGGTTAGCTGATCTGGTAATTGAACATGTGGTGGCGCAGCATGGGCTGCCAGAAGGGATAGTGTCGGATAGAGGAGCGAAGTTTACCTCAAAGTTCTGGAAGGATCTTACTGCTAGTCTTGGTATAAGACTAAATCTTTCCACTGCGTACCATCCACAGACTGACGGTCAGACTGAACGAACGAATCAAGCTTTGGAGATGTATCTACGAGTATTCGCTTCTTACCAGCAGGATGATTGGGCAAAGTTATTGCCAAAGGCTAGCTTTGCGTATAATAACACGATTCACTCGGCTATTGGGATGAGCCCATTCTTTGCGAATTTCGGGTACCACCCACGATGGACAGATGAGATCAAGGAATCCGAAGTAGAAGTTCCTGTTGCTCGAGCAGTTGTCACTGACCTACAGGAGGTACATAAACGATGTGTTGAAGGCATTAAACTAGCCAATGAGAGATACTCCGAAGCGTATGATCGAAAGCGCTCAGCAACACCGCTTTTCAAAATTGGAAGCAGAGTGATGTTATCTCTTGAGAATATTAGAACTAAGAGACCTAGTAAGAAGTTAGATGCTAAACAAGCAGGCCCGTACGAAGTTATTGAACGCATTGGTACTCATGCGTGCAGGTTGAAGTTACCAGCCTCGATGGCCAAGCTTCATGATGTGTTTCATGTGTCGTTGTTAAGGAAGTTTCAACCAACGAACTTCGTGGGACAGGAGGCAGAACTTCCTGATCCAGTCGAAGTTGATGACGAAGGAGAGTCATGGGAAGTCAAGAGTATTCTAGACTCTAGGATAAATAGGAGATCTGGAAAGGTCGAGTACTTAGTAGAGTGGTTGGGATTTGAGGGAACTGATGATGCTGTCTCTTGGGAACCAAAGGGAAATGTTGATGGTGCAGATGAAATTCTTACAGAGTTCCACAAACGTTATCCTGAGAGACCGAAGGAAGATTTAGTTCGTCAAGCACGAGCTCGACGAACTTAGGGACTATGCAAGACTGATACATGGGACAAGAAGTTATACAATCGCTAAGTTTTATTTCTCTCTTCATCTACAAGAATGTCAATATCGTCCATCACCATTTTCCCTTTTCCTTTCTCACGACTCCATCTTCTACTATCATCCCACCATGAGTGGGCCCCCTCAGTATCAGTAAGCTCTTCACGGGCTACCACTAACAACGGATCGTTTCTCACTACGTTCCTCATCCGCCAGTTAGCATCCCAGAACGTCTCACTAGCCGCACGAACCTCGTCTCTCAGCCCTTGAGTACTGGGCCCAGCAACCGCGACACCAGTCAGATCACGTTCCTTTCGCCCGATGGTATCATTGATCTCTCCCCGGAACTTATGGCCGAAGATAGCGTGGCGACCAGTACGAAGGAGATGTTCGTTCCATTCGAGCAGCAAACTATGAGTAGCAGAACCAATATGAGAACTTTTCTTTGATAAGTTCCGGGTTAAAAGACGAATTTGATTAAGGAAACGACGAATGATGACCCCTTGTACGTCCATCATGTCTGCTGCACGAAGAGCTACCATGGTCATAGCTGCTAACCGTTTCTCTGTTTTCAAATTGTCCAAGGTGAGAACCTCGACTAGCTTCTTGAGGTCCGCAATAATTTCCTCTTGTGTAGGGGGAGGAACTTCCTCCGACGAGGAGGACGACGAGGAAGATGGCACGGGTGACGGACAAGGAGGTGAGGGAGGAGGAGGAACAATGAAGGCCCCAGGTACGATCAGCGACGTGGAGCGAAGGTCAACGACGGGAACAGCGCGAGGGGGACGAGGACCATGAGGAGGGGGGAAAGGAGACAACTCCCATAGGGGAGCACCAGGGCGAGCGGCACGGAAGGAGACCGAGGGGGGGAGAGGAGGAGGAAGACCGGGAAGTTCGTCCGAGGACGAAGGAGACTCTGTCGCGAACACCGAACGACGAGCGGCGGGGGGCGACGAGCGAGCGACGGGCGAAGAGCGAGAAGTTGTCGAGACCTTCCTCTGTTTAGCAGGGGAAGGGGGGAGGAAGGAACAGACACCTGATGTACACGATGCACATTGTGTACCACGGTTGGCTCCACAGGGACAAACACAGGGGAAGTTGGGGTGACGAGATTGCTCGTCACTGGAAGTTAGGATCTGTTACGTTCTGAGAAGTTTGATTTGCTCACCGGCAGCGATCACATTCTTCGCCCTTGGGAGCCAGCTCCCACCTTCCAGGTTGGGCCGCGAGGGAGAGCCACTTCGGGCACAACCCTAGTGTAATCGGGGCACAACCTGCCACAACACGTGGTCAGGTACACATAGGCGTCGGCGTTACCGAAACCCCGACCACGCGACGGACATGAACTCGCCACTGATGGCCGGCCGACACGACGTCGCGACCTGTCTGCTTGCTACCTACCAACTTGTCCTCGCCACCAGTAACCTCTCTGTCGTCATTTTGATACTAAACTCACGCTCTTTTTCACACACACAGTCTCTTCTTATCTCAAGGATCATTTTGATACCCTTCTCACTCTTTTACGACTAATTGTCACCGACTTCTGGCCCTTCGCCTTCTCAACCTCCGCCCTCCCTGACAACCACTCATCAACTCGCTATAACTCTCTTAATATCAATCGTGGTATTCAATCGTGGCTTGTATTACCCTCCTGGACATTGATAGGTAGGAGAATGCATGGACAATGACCGGAAATGACGTGGTATAGCTATTACTGACATTGACGATGTAAGAGAAGAGTGAGCAATCAGAGATCGCGGGGTTTCGGTAACGCCGACGCCTATGTGTACCTGACCACGTGTTGTGGCAGGTTGTGCCCCGATTACACTAGGGTTGTGCCCGAAGTGGCTCTCCCGCGAGGAGGGCCAAGAGACTTGCCGAAGTTCTTACCGTTCCCGAGCAAGGAACAGGCGAGGAAGAAGGGGCTTCAACCCGTACCCGTTTGCGAGCGGGGGTGGGCGAGGACAAAGCGGACGAAGAGGAAGAGGACACCAATATTGGTGAAGAGTTTTGTCGATGTCTCTTTTTAGGAGACCGAAGGATGGAAGGTTTTCTTGATGAACTCGCCCCTTTCGAGGGAGTCTTTCTCTTGGCCGGGGTCGAGGACGGACCGGCGACGGGAGCGGGAGGCGCAGAAGACGAGGAAGATGCCCACAGCAAAGGGAGAGCAGCCGACAGAGAAGAGAGGCGAAGGCCAGCTGAGCTGGCGAGGCGGCCGACGAAGGACAAAGGGGGAGCAGGAGGGGGAGACTGAACCCGGGACACTAACATCAGCCATGACACGAAAGTTCTTGACGAAATTCTCAGGCAATTCGAACTTACTGCTTCAAGTCCTTCAGGCAACGTGGGAAGGAGGAGATTTGACGAGTTTTCGAGGGGTAGACGGGGCCATGGTGGGTATGAAGAGAAAACTTTAGTGAGAGGGTTGGTTGAGATGTAAGAAGAGAGTTAGAAATGAAGAAGTTAGGGGGGAAGTTCGTCAACCTACAGAGTATAAAGGGAAAACCGTTGCTGTTGACAACAGATAAGGGTGTCTCCGTCGTCAACGTCGTGTTTCATGGAGACCAGGATACCACAAAGATCCCTGGATACAAGAGAAAATTTTTTAGGCTAAGGAGTTTCGTGCTAAGATTCATGGATACTGCGCTCACGGACAGATTATTGCTTCCCATTCCCCATACATGAAATTCTTCTGTCATTGTCATATCTTCTTGTTACATACGAATTTCCCCCACGATTTTTCAATGTCCAGGAGGCAAGTTACGATGTTCGGTACATGCCAATCTTGTTGTGAGGACGGCGGCGTATCCAAAGGAGGTTTCAGACTTTCCTGGAATTTCATTACGGGAATTACATTATCAGGAAGTTGGCTTTCAGGAGAAGAGTGAGACCCGAACTTCATGCTGAGTTGTTTTGTTCTTTTTGGCGTCGATGTTCGCTCACGAGGACGTTCACGCTCAAGGAGGGGGCGACTGTCACGCGGCACCGCGTGACATCATCTTTCCCCATCAACGAGGTTCCTTTGGACATCAGTTCGCCATCAACGATCCAGTTCTCATGAACTTCATCACCCACGAGGGTATTAGGAGGCTAACTTCGTCGAGGGCGAAGTTAGTCATGTAGGAAGTTGCAGAGATACGAAGTTAGGGGGATACGAAGTTAGGGGGATACGAAGTTAGGGAGATATGAAGTTAGGGAGATATGAAGTTAGGGAGATATGAAGTTAGGGAGGCACGAAGTTAGGGAGATATGAAGTTAGGGAGGCACGAACTTCGTTGGGGACGAAGTTCGTGAGGTACAAAGCTCGGGACTTCGGGTTGAACGAAGTTCTGCGTTGAAGAAGTTAGGGAAGGACGAAGTACTTAAGGGCCGAAGTTCCCAGAGATCTTTGACGATCTCTGGTTGTTGTCTTAGTGATAGAAGTTAGTAAAGTACGAAGTTATTACGCCCAGAAGTTATTGTCACCTATTTCATATGTCGAACAACGAGGTAGTTAAAGGTCGAAGCCCACGAAGTTATTGGCAGTCGGTCCTAGCAAGTTAACGAAGAAACAACCCTGTGACACCCAACACCTCAGTACCCTCAGTACCTAAGCAGGCATCAAGCTTTACGAGCCAGAGACTAAAACCCTTCAGTACCCAAGGCAGTACTTTGCAACCTGTCATTATCACCGTTGGTTTGCCGTCCGCTGTGGCCCCTCCTGTCGCCGCACCTTCTATTGTGGCTCCTCCTGTTGCCATATCCCCGGCCGCGGCTCCAACTCTTCTCTCTCCTGGCCAACAGGAGGTCAGACCTGCTCCTGTTGGCCCTTCGCAAACTCCGGGCCGCTCTGCCACTGTGGTGGAGATAGATGATGATGATGAAGAAATGGACGGCGTCAATAGTGACAAAGACATGGATGATGTAGATGATGATGAGGGAACGGGCGATGCAGATGATGATGAGGGAATGGGTGATGTAGATGAGGAAACGTTTGATATTGATCGTGGTGATGAGGAGTTGTTTGAGGATAGAGACGATTGGGTGGCTGAGCTAGCGGCGTTGAGTCATATGTCCACTGTTGAGTAATCTGTTTGTGAGTGCTAACATACACAGCTGTCCGCGTTGTCAAAGGGTATCCTGAACTTCGTGTGATGATGCTGGGCTCCAATGGGAAGAAGCGCGTTGCCTACATGGCCAAGCTGTCCCAGGTGAAATCCGAGAAACACCGCCGCTCTGCTTCCGCCCACAACAAAGTACCTCCCCCTTCGGCAAAAAGGGTCAAAGGGACGCCTCAGTCCTTGTCCGATTTGGAGGAAATGTCTCCCCCCACTCCCCACGAGACAGGGAGTGCTTGCAAATTGTCTTTGCGGGAACAAGAGAGGTTGTGGAAGTTGTTTGCCGCTGAAAGGGAACGTTGGGAGATCGCCAGTGTAGAGGACTCATGTGATAGATGTCGGTATGTTCTTTCCATGATAGTTTATACATCTGCTGATCAATAGTCGTAAAATTATCAAGTACAGGAGAAAAGATTGGCCGTGTCTGCGACCGGTCAAACCTCATAATTGGGGATCTTGTTGTGCTTCATGCACTTCTGGACCGTGCTCGTTCTGGCCCCCCAACTCTGCCTGGGACATTCCTCCTAGAGCTTCTGCCCCTCTCGGTCCTCCGTACACTCCGTCCACCGCTGTCCGCAGTCGTCTCCCTACGGTCCAAGACAGGGACTATCCGTCGCGCTCTTCTTCGGCAAACTTTTCCTCTCCCGGCCCGACTTCACCATCCCCCGCCGTCCGTCGTTTCTCTCCCTCTCCTGTGGCCAGACCGTCTTGCCTCCCTGCCACTCCTTCAGCTCCGTCTTGTTGCACTCCCCGTCGTGCTCCGTCCACCGCCCTTCAGCCTCCTACTCCTGTGGCTGGCCCATCTTGTAGAGTGTACAGGGAGTACACCAGTGCATTCTCAGTGCCATCTTGTATATAGTCTTCTTCAATCTCTCACTTGTTTCCTTCCGTTCCCTCCCCACTCTCACTTCATTGTAACTCCTTCTCTACTGTCTGTATCCCTCCCTCTCAGCCTTCCTTTCTTCCCCTATGTTCAGATTGGTCATGTGTTACGGGGTAACAACGAATTGAGAGAACTCCATCGAACTTGACGGATGAGGAAAGAGAACAGCGGGAGTTGGAGGCAGTGCTGCAGTAGGTAGGGACGGGTTTTCCCTTTTCGAGATTTCCCCACTGGGTTTGCTCAAAAGCGGTTTTTCACCTGTCCGAGTATGTACATAGACGCTTGCAGTAGGACTGAGAGGAGGACACGGACACCTGTAGACAGTATATAGTACAATCAGCAAAGTTGGTACTTTGCTGATTCTTCAATATCATTCTTTGGCTACATCGATTGCAGAGGAGACGCGTTTTATCACATAGCACCGGAGACCCACAGATTTCTACAAGACTTCCATCGAGTTCGACCCAACCTGCGACCTGGTTATCGTGTTTCCAGTACCGTTACAGTGAGTCCATGCGGACTTGTATGAACTCTGGTGAGTTCATGACGGTTTCACACAATATTCAGGTGATTTCTGACCGAACTCATATGGGTTCAGGTGTATTCATGGTGAACGCATATGAACTCATGATGAATGCGTATGAACTCATGGTGAACTCATGTGGTATCATGGTGAACTCATACAGTATCATGGTGAACTCATACGGTATCATGGTGAACTCATACAGTATCATGGTGAACTCATACGGTATCATGGTGATCTCACCTGTACTGATATGAATTCATTGGCACTCACATTCAAGTTGCATGAATTCAGTTGGAATGTGTTGAAATCACGTGAACTCGGGTCACGCTCGGTAGAGTCGTGACACCCGGCGAAGATTTTGTGTCTTGTCAGGCAATGTGGGAGATCTGATCTTGCTTAATCATTTTAGAAGGCAAGGGGTCTACAAGGGAAAGTCAACAGAGTTGAATGACCCAAAGGAGAATTCTACCCAAGGGGGAAATCCATGAACCAAAATTTATGTTTCCCACGGGTTCTCCCGTCGTCGGAACCTCAATCTTCAAGGTAGGACATATAAGATACACGTCCGTGGGTGTATTTAATCCCTACTAATCAATTGATCTCGTATCTCAGCATGTCAAGACCTCTCGCACAAGTCACACACTTTTTATCTGATGCTGGATGGCCAAATGAGTAAGTTTCTTTCAACACATTTGTTCACTCTGTATCCGTGGACAGGAAAGGTGACTGATATCCGAGCTACACTCAGACAGATGCACATCAGGCCAATGGTGAACAAGAGACTACAAATGGGACCAACTTGGTAAAATACATTTCAGATGAATCGTGAGTGGGCATCTGTGACGGCACAACATATTTCCCCCGTAGCAGTCCATCAAGACCAACACATCCTATCACGGCTCAGATTTTGATCATAGAATGCCCGTCCCTTCCATAGGAGATGACTCACTGTGAACACTGGTCATGACACATCACTCTCTTGATTCTTCACACGTCCCCAATCCACTATCTCTCAGAGGTCTGACTCCAGCCGTACAGTAGAAACACACATAGGGTCTTGCACACTGGAAGTGAAGAATGCTAATCAACAGGTATGATCAGGACTATAGTCATTCACCTACCTTTTACGCCCAACACCAACAACCTGCAGGCGCCTCGAATTTGTCGCCAGCTCCAACAATCAACCGAACCTATCCCCGCACTGAAAGGACGTCAAGCGGACAGGTAGTGATTCTGATGGGGGAAGAGACGGGACGAGATGACGACATAATTTGTATCCAGGCCAGTGAATTGAATGATCCATTCTGGACGCCGTCGCCGGAGGACTTCCGTGAAAATGGGTCTGAAGTCCATTTCCCCGCAAGAGGTCGATGTACATCATGTGGTCAAGGCGGGCGGGCTATCCTCAAAGTCACTTGGGATGATAAATCATTACAAGAGGTGTTCTCGCAGTTGTGCTACTCTTGCCCACTCCACTTCCCGCTGGGAAAAGACTGGCCAGTTGTAGCTTGTCTGAAACATAGATAAAGTTCATTTCAGTGTCTGTGATAAGAGACCTCGTGATTTTTGCGCCCCTCAAGATTCTTGTGGAGGGTACTGTTTTCTCCCTACCCGCAGACCTCTTGATGGAACGGTTGTCAGTCACATTGACAGTGATATGCTTTGCAGAAGAATGAGATGTGCCGACAGGTGATGATGAATGCATGAGAGTGAATGGTGCACCAATCTCTGACCCATTCCATAATCGAGAGCGGGACCATTGGAAGTTAATGTGCATTGCGGTGGTGGAGTATCAATGACGTGAAAAATGTTATATGCACACACATCATGATTTCCTTCCAGGCACAAGATGACCAGTATGTGAACACGACTCATAAATCCATCATACCAAACCCAGGTTATGAAGCATCAGATTGAGAAAAGATCTAGACCAATAACCAATTCCTCAGACAATCCACCAATCTCCCCGCCGCACCACCAAACTCTCCTGGTAAAACACAAGGTTCTATATGATAACCCCCCCTTTCCTTTACCTGCTCCACCTGAACCCCGGAGCCTCTTGCAAGCTCTGCGAGGGACTTCACGGGCCCATGAAACCATTCCGCCGTTCCGGAATGAAACAAGATTTTTGTGTTATTCTTTGCTAGTAGATGGAAGATAGATGTGTTGAACGGGTCTGTTGGATTGGTTCCGGGAGAAATGAGGGGATGTCTTGAGGAAGACTGTTGGAAAGCTCGCACGGAAATCGAATCGAAAAGAGGTTGATTCTCCGAAGACGGAAAAGTGAGGTGTTCTTTCTCAAACTTGCCAGTAGATTGAACATTTTGAGGAAGCAAGAGAGGAGTGATGGAGTTTGATTGGAGTAAGCCAGGTAGAGTGAAATTGGAAATGGGTGCAAATGGATCAACATCGATAGGGAAGCGAGAGAGGTAGCATGCGGCTGCGTTGGTGAGTTGTGGTATGTCTAGTGTGTCTGGGTAGGGGAGGGGTTGAGTTGGCGGGAGAGAAAGCCAAGGCTGAGAGATCAGCTCAACCTCGTACTTTTGCTTATATCATACTTCTGTCTACCCGCGCCAAACATAATTCCTGGCAAACAAGATGGAGAGAAAATCCCAAGAATGAAGTCGGGAAGAATGAGGCTCGGATGGTAGCATTGAACTCACGGAAATCAAAACCAGCCCTCCTGGTATACCCAGATCAACGTGCCCACTAACTTCTTGAACTGCTTTGATAGTAGAAATCACTCCCAAATACGCAACTAAAGACCAAGCCAAACCCCCTCCTGCCGAATCACCCATTACAACGATATCCTTTGAATCCCAGCCGTCTTCTCGCAGATGAGCATAAGCGGCCAGAGCGTCAAGTAGGGGAGAGGGAAAAGAACGTTCTTTGTCTAGAGATTTCCGGATGGATGGCGCAAAGATGGAGATGTCGTGTATTATTCCCACACCTTGTATCATGTCCTGAGAATCCGAGTGAGATTCCGATTGCGAGTGCTTATTACCTATCTCGGAATGGCCTTCATCTCCCTGACACGTTCTCTCTTCTCGCTCGTAGGTTGAATGCTTCTCCATCGGAAACTGTTCGGAGTCGTAATTGGTAGGGGCAAACGGAGAGGAGGATGGAGTGAATGAACGTGGTTTGATGAGCTTGTCGTCCGTATGGTACCACATTCCTTGTGCCGAGCGTCCATCAGATTTTGCATCCAAGCCGAAGTTCACGGGACGAGAGTCACTTTCTGGTATCGGGGAGTTCGGTGATACTGGAGCAGAGGAGAGGCTGGAACTGCCGAAAGGGAGAGACCTGTCTCTCTTGCCATAGTCGTCTCGTGGTGCCGTGGTGGCCGATGATGCTGGAGGACAGGGTAGGGAGGAGAAATCGGAAATGATAGTTGCTTTTCTCACTTGAGGAATCATTTGTGTTGTAGAGATATTTGATGATATATTGGAAGAGGACGAGACGGGCTTATTTGAACGGAGAGAAAACATGAGTGAGAAGAGAAAAGGGTGTACCAGCGGATGTCCAGTCACATGACCTCCTCCCGCCAGCCAGAGGATAACCTTTCCGCTTCTCCTTGTATCTCCCCGTGCCGAAACCTCTCTAGGTTGAGGATGCCTTACTCCCTTCAAGCCTTCCAATTCCCTCTCGTGTCCCTTACTCCCCTGTATGCCCAACTCCCCTGTTGCCCGTCCTTCAAGTAACCGTAAGGGACTAGAAGCCTTGATACTAGATTTCTCCAAATTGACGCCAGCCGGAGGGAATCCCGGCTCCGAGTTTGACAGATGATAGGCTGAGTGAGCCGAGTTGAGATGAACACTCCTCATCCAGTACCCAGGGATTTCCTTAGTAGTCCCTTCGTTCAAAACTCCGAGTCGAGGTCCCATATACGGAGAAACAACGACTTCCTCCAATTCTAACCGTATGGTCGCTTCGGAAGTCTTGAACAACCAACACCAAGGCCAAGTATGAAGGAGAGATACGAACCCACACGTTACACGCATTAAGAATTTGTCCAGAGATTGATTTTGATCGGGAGGATGACCGATACCTGTTATGCTCCATATAGCCGCGCTGAAGTAGTAGATGAGTATACCTCGGATGATAGAAGATAGATGAGTTCGATAAGGGGGTAGATTATCAGGATGAAGAGGTAGAGGGGCGAACCTGTGGAGGAGTTGGTGTCTGCTAGAAGCGAGGAAGACACTGGGTGGGATGAGGAGAACTATCAATGAGAGGGAGATTAGGGTGGTTAGAAATAAGAAGCAAACGCGGGGAATCCAAAGAAGACGAGAAGAAGGGGGTATGCGAAGGAGGAAAGAAGGAGTCGGAGGTTGAAAGATAGTGTGTTGGAAAATAGCCATGTCAGTAAGTGTTGAGCAGGACTCGAGAGAAGGGATGGAAATGAAAAGAGAGGGAAGGGAAAGAGTGAGAGTAGGAAGTGGGGGGAAGGAGAGATGAATGATGAGGAAACAATAATCAGCAGATATATGAGACTCAAGAAGAGACAAAGAAAAAAGTTCGACTTTGACCCACGATCGATCGAGAAACATGACGACGATATGCATCGCATAAACTGACAAGGTGGATCTGCCGCGTCGTACAATGTCGATCTTTATCGGTCATCTCGTCGCTCAACAAACATAGCTCCATGCCAAGTGATACACTAATAAGTACTATCAACATCAGCTACGATACTTTATTTGGGTGAAATCTTACCGCTTGAAAGGTGGTACAGGTTTGCACTCATTCTCGTCCAACGTAGTAGCGATCACACTTCGGTATTGTAAATCGACTTTAGGTGAAGTTGGATCGTGTTGAAACGATAAAGTATGTTTCATCCAATGTTCACTGGTCGTCAATTTCAAGTCTAGATTTCCATACTTGCCCAATTGGGAATGATGTGGTAACCGCCGACTACTCACTCGTCTCGTTCCGGGAAGTCTTCTCTTGCATGAGCACCACGAGACTCTTTTCGCGCCGCGGCAGACACTACAGTTTGCATGGCGCATTGCATGATGTTCCTCAGTTCAAGCGTTTCGATCAGATCACTCAAGCGTCAGTACAAACGTCAAGATGAGAGGGAATTGGCCATACCTGTTCCAGATCATGCTACGGTCTTTGATTCCGACTTGATCATACGACTTGTACACGTCGCTCATCTTTTTCACACCTTCATCGAGGGACTCTTGAGTTCTGCAAGTGAGTGATTCGTCGGCCGCTATCCAAACAGCTAGTAGTGAAAGTAGACCACGAAGTACCATGTACAAAAGTCTGAGTATATTCAAAGGCGATTACTTGGCTAAGGTGATAGCTCGGGACTAGGCGGAAGCTAAGTGATAAGGTCACAGAACACCCACCTGAACACGGCCGCATCCGTCTGCATAGTCTTCTGCATATCCAATCTAATCTTCGCAGTCGATAACGGTCCGCTCGAAGTCCGGATGTTGTCCAATTCATCTATACTCTTCTTGCCCAAATCACCTTGCATAGGCTTGTGAGGTTTACCAGGCTCAAGGGTTTCTTTGATGTGATTGGCACATGCTCGACCGAAGACTACGATATCAAGGAGAGAGTTGGCGCCTAGACGATTGGCACCGTGAACAGAGACGCAAGCGGCTTCTCCTGCGGCGTATAATCCAGGGACAACCTTGTCTTTACCCTTTTCGTCGACAGTGAGGACCTCTCCGGTATATTTGGTAGGTATACCGCCCATGCTGACATGTCAGCAAGTGTCATGGGTCATCATTCGGACCCCCGCCTCGCTGTACGGGAAGCTCAAGGATACGGCAGATTTACTGGTAACGGAACAAACCCGCGAATGTGATGAAATGGACGAGAGAAGACATATCAAACTGAAGTCTGGCAAGAAAACTCACTTGTAGTGAACGGTAGGTAGCACCGGGATGGGCTCTTTGGTGACGTCTACACCCGAGAAGATAGCAGCCGTTTCTGAAATACCAGGCAGACGTTCGTGGAGTACTTCAGGTGGCAAATGACTAAGCTGAAGATAAATGTGATCCTTATCAGGACCAACCCCACGTCCTTCTCTGATTTCTAGGGTCATGGATCGAGAGACGACATCACGAGACGCAAGATCTTTTGCGGTGGGCGCGTAACGTTCCATGAATCGCTCTCCTTCAGAGTTGAGTAGGTAACCGCCTTCACCTCGTGATCCTGAAAGTGAGCTGAACGTATTTGTCCCAGCCTGTAAACACGGCCTCTGGAGGGTCCGCAGCCCGTAATGAGCGGAAGGATGGGTCAGACAAGAGGGAACATGGAATGACATTGCAGCGATCGAACTTACCCTCCGTGATCAAACAGCCCGCACCGTAAATTCCAGTAGGATGAAATTGCACAAATTCCAAATCTTGCAATGGTAATCCAGCTCTCACAACCATAGCGTTACCATCTCCTGAACAAGTGTGTGCACTGGTGCAACTGAAATACGCTCGTCCATAACCTCCAGTAGCGAGAACAGTCTTGTGAGATCTGAACCTATGAAGGGTCCCATCTTCCATGTTGAGAGCGAGTACACCGACACATTCACCATCTTGCATCAAAAGGTCGATAGCGAAATATTCAATGAAGAAATTAGTGTTGTGTCGAAGTGATTGACCGTAAAGTGTGTGAAGGATAGCATGACCGGTTCGATCGGCCGCTGCAGCGCAACGATAAGCTTGGCCGCCTTTGCCGAAATTTAAAGATTGTCCGCCGAAGGCTCTTTGATAGATTTTACCTTCTTTGGTTCGAGAAAAAGGTACACCAAAGTGTTCGAGCTGGACATAAGCCGTGAGAAAAGAAAAGTGGGAGGAAGAAGGACGTACTTCGATGACTGTACTGGGGGCCTCTCTACACATGTAATGTATAGCATCTTGATCCCCTAACCAATCGGACCCTTTAACAGTGTCGTACCTCGATGTCAGCTCATATGATCCTACTGAAAGCTGGTGCGACAGTACAACTCACATGTGCCATCGCCAATCATCCTCTGTCATATTGCCTAAAGCAGCATTGACTCCTCCTTGCGCAGCGACGGTATGACTCCTAGTAGGGAAAAGCTTCGTAATACATGCAGTTTTTAAACCTCCCTCGGCTGTAGTGTCAGCTTGGTTCATCTCCGCCGTGAGTGAATGATAACACAGAACAAATACACCTTGATAGTGACTCAAGCTATGGGATGTGTCAATGGAAATATAGGAGAAAAGTGAGAGCTCACCCAGACCGAAAGCCGCTCGAAGACCAGCACCTCCTGCTCCTCTGTATAATCAGCATCACCTCATCATCCAAGCCTTCCTGTCCCTCCATACAAGATGATTGTGATTGTGAATATTCCAGTCACAGTTGAGTGCCACCAGATCACATCCCCAAATCATTAACCGAATCGCTCCACGTACGCCTGCAGGATGCCCCACAGCGGATCCCAGAAGTCGTCGTGAAACAGTAAAAGTCGGACCGGCATACATGAGAGGTGAGAGGAATAAAAAGGTAAAACATACACAACAACAGCGTCGAACCTGAATATCAGCCTTGTTCTTGAACAATACCAGTAAATGTCCAAGACTCACTCATGGTCAATAATGGGATACCCTTTCTTCTGACCGAAATCCTACTCGTTAGCTAGGTTCAAACCTCGATCTCTCTCCGAACCCCACTTGACCTGATGTCAGGAGTCAGACAGGCCTTGGATAGAAGGATTAGGTCTTCAAAGACGGATCTAATGAGCGGGAAGGGAAGTCTTGATGAGGACACTGGACATTGCGAACGATCATGCAAGAGACCGATCTCTCAATCGGTCTAATGTGAGATCATGGGTATGTTACATTAATCCATGTCTACGTCTGCAGACAAGGTATATGGACTGAGGAAGGGTTGTTGTCATTTGACGATTCAGATCTGACGAAGGGCAGTAGGTAAGAGGAGATTTGCACTCACAGTAGCCTCTTGAGCCCTATGTGTCTGACTAGCGACGACATACCCTCTAGTAAGATTCCTACTCCTCGTGGATGTTCTCAGACCGAGAGATTTGGTCAACCTGAGCATGATGTACCCCTCTTTGTTGGTGTGTTCTTCTGTGTATCTAGTCCGTATTCAAAAGAGAGGGGAGAGAAAGAGAGAGGAGAGTTCTAAGATATTGATGAAGAGCAGAAAGTCAAACTGTACTGTCGAATTGACGACTGATCTGATGCTTGCCCTGTGATCCTGTTACCGTTCGGGATGTTCCGGCATCAAGAGCGAACTAAGGTTTACCGGCTCTCTCCGATCTTCCACCACCAATGAGATTCTTTCTATTGCCTCAACGTCACGCAACTAAATCGAAATGAACGACACTGTAATGAAAAAATGCATGACAACATGAGGTCATGTACATATAAATATGTACGCTATGTGGGCCTGTCCGCCAGTACCATTTACGCCTTCCCTCAGCGTGATGACAGTGGAGACTAGAAGACCCAATCGGCATCGGCTTCCGCTTCTGCCCAAGGAAACTTTTCTCGTCTGTTTGTCAGCTACAAGTGCGAAATGCCGAATGTATGCGGCCGTGCACGTATATAGGAGCTGATGTTGTGTTCAGTCGACTAGCCGCGAAAAAAGGACAGATGAGGAAGAAAGAGAAGAGGAAGAAAAACGACGCACAGAGCCTTCTGGAACAACTTTTCCAGGGGCACATCGTACTTTTTAGCCCAAGCGACAGTCAGTCGTGGATCCTGTATATAAGCCACGCCCAGTACTTCCAAGAAGGCAGAGATCATCGCCCGTCGTTGTAACTAGATACAGAACCTCCAACAAACATTGGAAGGAGGGGCGCAGGGCAAGAAATGATCACTCACAATGTAATTGATCTTAGACGTTGACAAAGCTACATCCTTGAGTTTATCTCTGTCACCCATTTGGATCTTGGCAGTCGCTATTCTCTCGTCCATCCTCGTGATGGCATCAAGTAATTTCTGTTCCGTCACTGACATCAGCATGGACAGGCTCTTCTTACACTACGCCACATGAGCGAGGGGGGGGGGAGGGGGTCCATGCCACACCACACCGAAATCAGGCAATGAGTACGAATGAGTAAAGGGTGGCAAACAATGTGGGTGGGAGTTTGATCAATCAAAAGGCGAATTGGGGGAGAGGGAAGAGAAGCCAACTCACTGCCCCTCCTCGGCTCAACCTTCTTCGTCTTCCTTTCCTTGGTCAACTCCTTGAATTCCCCCTTAATCTCCTTCAACCTCTCATCCAATTCACTTTTCGGCTTCTTCGCCTCTTTCTCTTCTTCCAACTTGACATTTTCCTTTTCCCACTTTTTCTTCGCCGCCTCTAAAGCTTTCTCAAGTAATTCCGCCTCATGACGCTCGATAAACTCATCATCAACATCGGATTCGTCTTGCGCCAAATCGAGTCGTTTTTTCTTCATCTTGGGATCTAGAGTGAACAGTTGGTATCGTAATTTCATACGCTGGTACTTTAAAGCGCGGACCTGAGGCTCAGCGCTGTCTTCCAATCACATATGGGACCTTTGACACCGGAGAGCATCATTGATATCATTATTAAACTTTTTAAGATACCTAAGCAAGAGATGTGGAGAACAGCAAGGCAAGTAGGAAAGCTGATGCAGAGTCGAAAATTATGGCAAATGAAATGAGGGGGGCGAAAGCAACAAAAACACACTTTGTCTCCCATCTTCGCGAAACTCTCCGCGAATCCTTTGCTGACGGTTTTCTGATGGTTACACAAAATAGCAACATCACGATTGGCAGTATTGTACGCTGCGATCTTCTCCGCCACTGTACCGTCTTTAGGCGTATGTTTGAGTTGTTGTTGAAACGTCCATGAGGCATTGTAAGTACGGAAAACTTTGGCTGTCAAACCTTTCATTTGTCCATTGAGGTACTGGTTCAAGCCGGTGGTCTGAGATCAGTTCACGTGTCATGAACTATGCCTATGAATCCCGTCGTCTCGCTCATGATGACCAGAATCGTATTGATACCCTCAGCCGCAAGGACAGATACGTCAAGGAAGCGCACGAGGAAGGCAAAGTCAGACAATGGATACCGTGATGATAGGAAAGAGGTAAAGCACCAAGGACTCACCGTCAGACGATCGAACAAATCATCTCCCTTTCCTTTAGGTTCCGCTTTGAAAATCCTGATATTCTTAAACACTTGAGCATCCACCTCGACCTCCTGATGAAACCTCATTGAGTCTTTACCGAGGAAATCAAAGATGACTTTGTTGGGAGGTTCAAGAGTGACGTGTTCGTATCGTAACGAACAGCAACCGACAGTGTCTGCTTCATCTTCCCCTTTCTCATTGCCTGCACGAAGGGCCAGCCGATCGATGAAGTACAGAGCGGTCGCTCTTTGACGATCTGCCATGATTTTCGACTTGAGATCTTCAGTGTAGTCTTTGCGAATGCGATCGACGTGTTTCTGTTCGTCAAAATATGTCAAGAGTTGGAAGAATTATGGAATGGGTCGGTAGCAGGAAAATGATGGTCTCCACATTCGCGCACAGACCACTATATAGTTGACGCTGTGTGATACACAGATATATACGAGAGTGGTGCATGGCATAACTGAAGGACATTGTGAAGAGCGTTGAGAAAACTCACAATGAGCTCTCTGGCCTTTTCAAACTTAGACCTATCACTTTGTCCTTTCCACGAACTACCAGCTGACAAGAAAACATACTTGCTCTGTCCATTGACATTTTCTTTCCAATGCGCAAGCCACGTAACCGTATTGTCATGTTGTAGCTAAGTTGGTCAATATCTGATACCACTCGGAATGTGGGATGCTCACATCTTTCCAGGTGCCTGGGATGTTGGGTACGGGTACAGGTGCGTTTTCTCCTATATTGAGGATGATATCTTCTGGACGTAGACGTAACTACGATGATCAGCACTTATTTTCATGACGCAAGAACATCATCCAATCTGGGAATGCACACATCCTTACCGTGGATTTGTCAATATATCCGGTGAAAGTGTTCGACAAGGAAAGGAATTGTCAACCAACCTTCAGAGTTCCCTTCTTCGGATGTTCACCACGCCCTCTGAACAAGCCAGGAGGTTCAGCTCGGAAGTTTCCTAACTTCTCCTTTCGACCGTCAATGGTGGCATAAAGATAAGGTGCTTCAAGCTTATCCTTATCTTCTTTTATTCTGTTTGATGAGCGAGGAAACTAGTTAAGCCGCTGATAGCCGAGATTGCGACTAGGATAATGAGCACAGAAACTCACTTCTTCTTTTCCTCCTTGGTCATTGACTTCTTCTTTTCCTTTTCTTTCTCGAAATGCTCAAACATGGGTCTGAAATCGCATTTTTCTAAAGACTTGACTTTGACGCCTTCTTTCTACGAACGTCAGATGATTAAATCACTTTGGCATATAAGACAAGTGGCATGGCCATCATTCCCTGCTGCCAGACTCTACCATCCTATTCCATGCAATTACGGCAGTGACCACTGATGCATAACTTGAGATGGAAAAGGTTGTGAGAAGTCGAGAGAAACTCACAGGGGGATGTTCATCCAAGACCGCCTGAAAATCCCTGAAGAAATTCTCCTTGAACTTTTCATCCTGCGCATGGTCCGTTTCCAACATTGCGGCGAAGAATCCTGCCACTTCTTCCGATTCCGGTGGCAACGTCAACGATACGCCTGAGTCATATCAACACGACTATTCCAAACATGAAGATTGGAGATGAGAGCTCACCGTCGTACTTCATTTTGACACCTTTCGGCAGAGGGATATAAGGAGGTGGAAACAGGATACCGTTATGCTCCAGAGTTGTCCATTTGACAGAACCATCGTTGTTGGCTTCTTGTTCTTCCCACCATTTATATTTGTCTTCTTCTTCTTCCCTTGTTTGTCAGCTCGATGCGTGGACACATACCTCAATGGGCCTTTAACCTATAATAGATCCCAAAAGTGTACAGAATGCCAAAACTGTCAAAGGCTGACTGTACGCTTACTGAGACCCACGGATTATGCGAGATGTGTTTTGGACATGGTATAGATTCGACTCACTCTTTTATTTTCTTGGCCCTTTCCTTCTTAATTTCAGTCTCTTCCTTCCCTTTTCCCTTACCATTCGCCGCTGAAGATTTTCCCTTCTTCGCCAAAGGTTTCTCATCCTCACTGCTCGACTCCTGCTTGACCTTCGCCTTCGTCTTCGCAGGGGTAGCACTCTTCCTCGGAGCCGCTTTCTTCTTCGCTAAAGGTTTCTCGTCTTCTGATTCTTCTGACTCCACAGGGGCTTTTTTAGTTTTACCATTCATTGAAGGGCGTTTTTTCGCTAAAGGTTTCTCGTCTTCTGAAGCTTCCGATGGCACTGTAGCCTTTTTAGTTTTACCATTCATCGAAGGTCGTTTCTTCGCCAGAGGTTTCTCATCTTCAGAAATTTCAGAGTCCTCGGAGAGGGAAGAGTCTGATTCTGCGTATTTGGCAGTCGAAGTGGAAGCTCGAGGGCGTTTTTCGTTAATTTGTGTCTATCGCTTAGCATACAGTGATAAACAGTTGAGGGACAGACACATACAGTGGGACCTTCATTCTTGACAGAGGGCCCAGGAGTACTTTCTTCTTCACTGAATACGGGTCGTTTTGCTGAGGATGGTCTGGATTTCTTTGCCTGTGGCTTCAGCTTGGGTTCTTTTCACTTCCAACTACGAAGCATAAAATGGCGAACGAGTGCGTAACGGTATGGGTAAACACGAATACCCTAATGGATGAAGTGCACCGGGAAAAGAAGTTGCAGCAGATACACACCAAAGGTTTCTCATCTTCACTACTACTGTTCACTCTCTTCCTTCCCCCATTCACCTTCCTTGACAAAGGCAGTTCATCATCACTTTCCTCAGGTGAGACCACAGGAGCTCGTACAGGGTTCTTAGGTATCGTAGGAGCTACCACGGCCATCGGTCCTGTGGAAGACATGATGTTTCTTCTTCCTACTCTCTTCGAACAAAACGAGAGCGTCAACGAGTTGGATAAAGGTTTTGGGAAGGTATACAAGTACGAAGTGAGAAGACGGGAGAATGGAGGACGTGATAGGAGTGTGTACAGAGTGCGAGTTTTGACAAAGGGAGACGTTGTGATATACGTGGAGTGTACAGTTGTGTTTATTTGACTAAGTCGGAGAAAACACAACTTTGGCTGGGGGATCACAGTTTTATATGATCCCCCCATGTTTTAAATCACAGGTGGAGGAGGTCGCGTCGTCGTTGATGGACGTCGGTGTGTGAGATAGGTTTTGGACATTATGGGAGGTGAGTAACTGGATGATGGATGATCAAGGATAATAGTTAATCATAGTAGTCACATTCTCGTCGATATGGGCTAGGTTATTCATGCGGAAAGAAACAAAGGTTCTCATACTAGGTTTGGACAATGCTGGCAAGGTGGGTAGTTCACCTCTGCTACTACACTCTCGGGCACATTGGCTACTCCTGTGTTCCAAAATCAGATCAATCCTCCTTGACGTATCAGTACCACTGACATCATCGTCTCGTTCAAGATCATACCAACCATCGCGACGTCTCAAATAAAGTAAAGGAGTCCAGGGGTCGATGATGAGTTCAAACCAGCGTTGACATATAGTCCACGATCCTATATAGAATAACGATGGGAACAGTAGTCCCATCACTCTCTCCTACAGTGGGGTCAAACCATGAAATCCACGATTACAAAGGTGTTCGTTTTGGGTTAATAGATATCGGTGGTCAGACAGCTTTGAGGAGTTCATGGGGTCAATATTTCATAGGGACAGAGGCCATTATATTGGTCATTGATTCGAGTGATGTGAATAGGTTAGGGTTGGCAAAAACGGAATTGCAGAGGTTGATACGTGATGAGGTGAGGTTTTACTTTTACCGTTCCCTTCCTCCCCCCCCCCCCCCCCCCCCCCCCCCCCCCTTAACCCTCTGAGGCCCAACTCCCCACCCCCCGCGGACCTCATACACGAAATCTTTGCCAGCAGTGAGATGCTTGTAGTGAAGGTCCGAAAGAAGTCCTGGAATGTGAAATGGATAAGTGACCTATGGACGATGAAATTGCGGTGTCGGAAATATCAAAGAACCGGAAGTCCCTATAAATGACGAAGGATAGTCTTCGTGAAAGATCGTACAAAAGGATATTTTAGAAGTGAAAACTGATTTTCCAGTCTCTACAAACTTCCCTCCTTCTGGTCCTCGCCAACAAACAAGATTTACCTCTCTCACAGGGTCGTTTAACTCCCGCTCAAGTATCCGACGCTCTCAATTTGACAGACTTGAGAGAAAGAGAATGGCAGATTATGGGATGTAGTGCTTTAACGGGTGAAGGTTTGATGGAAGGGATGGATTGGTTGGTTGGGAAATTAATTAGTCGATAAGCGTTCGTTGGAAGCGCTGGCATTCCCTCAGGTCACAATTGGTCGTTTCATCCCCTTTCTCCAATATTCGGTAGTCGTCATTCGAAGTCGCTCACATACTTAACCCGTGAATGTCCAGCGGCGCAAGTTTATTCGACACCTCCACCCCGTCCAAAACAAATAAATCTATCGGCTTACGAGTGGAACTCGTACTCCAAGACACCCGGCGCTACAATTACCTCTCACGTTGTACGACCTCCGGAAATTATAGAATACGCCAACATCTTATGATCTAATGATAAAACATGATATAGATCGTCACTACTCAGAGTCAGACTCGCTATTGTATGAAATGATGAATGCATCCAATGATAAACATCACATTTGTGATAGTTGAAGCCTCCAAGCTTCAAGGTCTTTTTCCATGCCTTGTGTGATCCAACACGTCCCACCGCTAGCTTCCAACCCCCCGTCACACTAGAAACCCCCTGAACCTCTCAAACCCACACTACCGACTGACCCAGGAGATTTCTTCCCTCCCCACCATACCTTACTCACACGTACCACCTCCCTCGCGAAAATCTCCCCAAAACCAAGCATGACACCATTGATGAAAGGTAACACCACGTTGATACCCAACACCGCCAGTACCCGTGAGATTGACAAATGCGATGGGGAAGTGAAAATGCTTAATGTCAAACTGGGAGGTTGAGATGGATGACCTCCTTCTCCCGATTCCCGTGCAGGATGATATCCTGAACCTTCATTCTTAGGGATTCCTGCTTTTGGTGCGGATGGTTTGCCCGAAGGAGCTGAAGGAAGAGAAGAGGAATGCTTGGCCGTTCTTGGTATAGACATCATTTCTTCTCCTGATTTGTCCGAAGTGGAACGAGGCGGTGAGAGATCTTCAGCGGAAGAAGGTGTGAGTGATAGTTCTTCCCATGCTCCCGAAGTGGCCGAATGACGGGATGTGGCTGTTGATTTCGATGGGGGAAGTGGGGATTCAAGGGGTTCAGCATGAAGTTGGTTCTGGTCACTGGCCGCTGTTTCCGTTACACCATGATGCTGGGCCTGCTCATCAGTACGAGTACCGTCGCATCGGATCACAATGACCCTTTCATGACAACGCCGCAGCGGTGGAGAAATCATCGCACCGACCATAGGTAGCAGCAGTGTTCAGGAAAGATTGATGATGGGTATGATGTGATTTCACTGACCTTTGCAGCATCAGCAGTATCATCATGAACCAACTCCCAAGCTTCTTTCATCTTTTCCTTCTCCCCCACATCACCCCCATCACCTTTGACCCTCTTGCTGGGACCCGGTTCGCTCAATTCTCTGAGTAATTTCTCTCTTTTCCTCTTCAACTCTTCCCTCTCTTTCTCTACTTTCTTCTCATTCGCTTCTTTCTCCTTGATGGCTTGCAGTTCCGCAGCACGTTCTTTTTCTATACGCGCCCTGGTTTCTGCTGCTTTTTCTCGAGCCACAGCTGATTCAGCATGCCAAGCACGGAGATATGATTCGTATGTTTCCGGCCATGCGTCGAGTCCTTCTACTGGCTCGGCTTGACTGGTTGGTTGCTCTTGTGCGGCTTGAGCTGAAGTGAAGGGTTGAGTGGTGGCTGTAGAGGGAGGGGGAGGAAGTGGTGGAGGAGAAAAAGATGATTCGAGGGAAGACTGAGAGTCAGATATTTGAGTTCTTACAGACACACTACTCATGGTCAAAAAAGATGACTCACACCAAGAGCATCGTCGAGAGTTTCCTGAGCTTGCTCACGAGTGTCGGACATTTTGAAAGACTTGGACCTATGACAAGTGTACGATGGTACGGTGGGGTTTAGAATGATGCTTCTGGGGAGGAGAGAAGCGGGAAAAAGAGCCGGATTTCGTGCGGGCGACGGCATTAGTGGGGCTCCGCGATCGCCGCGATCTGAGAGACCTATGGAGATGCAATAGTCTGTTGCAACGTTGGCTTTTGGGTGATAGTATGCATCAATAGGGCACTCTGTCCAACTATACCACCATCTGGGCTGCTTGCTATACGATGAAGAAGAGGAGATCCTGTGTGGCGGGTAATACGGTAGGAAAGTGCTGTCGCCGGCTAAGGTAAAGGGTTTCTCAGCTTGAAGCTGTGCTCTCTTCACTCAGCACTGCTTGCTTACCTTCTTGCTCATGATGGCTCATCTCCGTTGCCTCGAACTTGTTGCTTATAAAGAGTGAATCCATGTCCATGAAATTTCCCGTCATCGATACCGCTATAGCGCTACTCTGTGCAGTCTGAACATCGAAAGAGTATACAACTACTTGGTACTTGCCCCATCCTTCGACATGCCCACATGTCCAGTTTGTACCCAAGAGATCAACGCCGACCCAGGTGCATTCCAACATCATGTTAATCAACACTTTGATCCTTCACCTTCTCCTACCGTAGTACTTCCACTCGCTTCCCCCGTATCGAGGACCATAGCCGATAACATGTAAGCCACGTTTTCCCCTCATAAGTACTGATTCGTACTCAGCTCTATGAAGCTGATTCCAGATCGAAGGATCCTCTCACTTGTGTCGTCTGCGGTTATCCATTAGAATCATTATCATCCAATGAGAGGTTCATTCATGTCAACGGATGTCTAGGTTGATAACATCCTCTTACAAAAGAAAATGTGCTGACAGACAGATGAGGGGATGGACATAATGGAGCGAGACGATTTTGGAGTGGCGAGAAGTAGATCATATACTAGTACAACGCATGGTGGCGAAGAACCTGATTACGATCTCACGCAAATGAGGAGAGAACAGGATGATGATGATGATTTCGTAGAGGTGGAATGGGAGGGACCAGCAAGACCTGGTGGTTGGCATGATTGGGCGGGGAAAAAACCACATAGAGGGGATAGATGGTGAGCTGGTCTTCTTCACTCTCCCGTCCTTACTTGTATGACCTTGCGTCTCTCATCGCTCCGTTTTCATCCTTCTTGACCTTCTCGAAAATCTACGAGCGTCGGTGGACTGGCTCAGACTGGGGGGATCACCAAGATTAATGCCTGACTTGATTACTTAATGACAAGGGAGAACAGCTTCTAAGTGGACCCGAGGTTGATATGAGCTGATCTTCAGGTGGGATCCCATACAAGCCATTGTTAAAGACAACAATCTTCCTGCGAATTTCTCACCGGGGTTGATGCCTGTATTGGACCAATTACTCAAGAAGTCGGTGGCGGAGGGATACACAAAATCTGCGGTACTTTGCAGCGACACGGTTCATATCAAAGGTGCTTGGGGATTTGACATGGGTATGTCAATTATCATATCTCTCCGCTCGTCATTCCACTCTACTTCTCTTGCATTTCATCAGATCCTCTTCCCTTCAAATCCCACGTCTCTCACCTTCCCTAATCATCTTTGGAGCATTTCTTGATGGTCTGAGATCTACCATGAAGGACCTTTCAGAAGATGAAACTGGTATCCCGCTGAAGGAATGAACGTCATCGTCATTACAACCGCTAAAGGGTATATGACTGACTCGTAGCTTGGGGTTGTGGATATAGAAACGCTCTCATGTCAATCTCAGCTTTACTCATCTCTCGACCAGCCTACCGACCGGTCTTTTCCAAAGAGGCCAATGGAGCTGAACCGGGGGTAAGGAGGATACAAGGATGGATTGAAGAAGCTTGGGAGGAAGGATATGATCGTCAAGGTGCGGAACACTTCAAGGGAAAGCTATTGGGAAGTAGGAAATGGATAGGGACTTCTGGTGAGTCCACATTCCACTCGACTGCACCACATCCTCAGGAATCTATCATCTTCGACCATGTGTCGGAGGAAATCACCAAAATGGTTATCCTTCGTTCTGCCTCAGACGTGATGTCAAGTTCATCTTTCTGTTTGAATCCGGTTGCGATTTCATGGAATTTGATACGCTGGATTTGATTTCAGCTTCACGGGGACTTCCGAGCCCAACTGTATCTGGCTGGATGCAACAGCTATGGTGAATGGAGAGACTAAGTAACAGACCTTTATGCCATGTTCACATCGAAAGGCATACCGTACGTCCACCACTCGTCGTGACCCGAATGATGGCTGATGTACAGATGCGAACTCTGTAAGCTGAGATACATCCGATTTTGGTAAGCTGACCAGTAGACGACTTCCCAAAGTCAAAAGACAAGAACAAGATGTCTAGGGCAGCATGGCATCTTCAACAATGGGTCAAACAGTATTTCGTCAGTCCTTATCTCCTCATTATCTATTGCATATCCACCACACGCAAATATCCTCACCTCCTGATTTTCCCGAGTTCTTCACTTTTCTCTTCCTGCACATTCCAAGTAGCCTCAAGATATCGAGAAGTGGGAAAGCAAGCGATTGAACTCTTTCGTACCTTCCGATTGTTGAAGTGCCGGGGGAAGGAAATTGCATCGTGGAATAGATGAGGTATTGATAGCGATAGAACGAAGATACACCTCATCGACCAGAACCCAATCGCACCTCAGCATTTGATGTCCTAATGCGCACCGAAGCCAACGGTCAAGGGAGAGGAGAAGTCGTCCGTCAATCTTCGAAATTACCTCTCATACTTCAAGTCAGTTTCCTTCAGAAATTGTGATTGTAAATTGACCACTCAGCACTCTGGGCATTCTCGGACTATCGTAGGATACGAAGAGACCTCTCGGGGGGATATCAATTTGTTACTTTTTGATCCTGGCAAGTGGGTAACAATGTTTATTTCGCTATCCGTCCTTTGATCCGTCTTCTTTACTTTATCTTTGATCCGTCATCTTTACTTCATCTTTGGCCCGTCATTCTGGTCAGACAAGAGGTAGTTCTTGTGAACTTTTTGGGGGAAAAGGGTTCAGAGTCTGTAAGGTTTTCGAGAAGATAGCTAAAGTTTAGATCTGTACCTAGACCTCTTCGATCTCAAGCTATCTCCCAACTATCCACCACTCCTTTACCTCGAAGAAAAACTTTATCTCGTACTCACCCATTCACAAAATCCCATGAATCTTTATCTTTTTCTCGACCTATATCCAACGGAGCTTCAGAAATCGTTCCATCCCCCTTCCCTGACAATTCTCCATCTCTTCCACCTTCACTCCGTTCCCGTGCTTCCCGAATAGAATCAATTCGGGCTATATCAATATCTTCCATACCTTCCCGTTCTGCCTCTTCATCATCAGGTATACCTTCCAATATAGCTACTGCATCATCATCATCTCGTATAACTCGTGTCGCAACAATATCTTCTTCCAACAGTGAACCACCTTCTCTCCGAGAAACCTCAACTTCGTCTTACGTCTCACCGAACAGATTAGCGGGTGGAAGTAAACCTTCTCATTTGTTAGCTTCTGATGAAGAAACCGATTCTGCCGGTTGGGTACGAAAAAACCTTCGACGAGCGAATATCGCTTTGAACAAAAATGCCTCAGATACCAAGATGTTGGATATCTTTCGAGTTGGATTAGGAGGGTTGAGTGGGAAAGGTGAATATCAAATTTTGAGATTTACAGGAGGTAATATTTTGGATAATAGGGAGAAGGAGAATAGGAAAGTGATTAATAGTTCTGTCATCATTTGACTTTACCATTTCCCCACATTCAAGAGCCTATTGTACTTTCATCTTTTTTCATACGTCACTGTTCTCATTCAAGATAACTCAACCATTGGAAATCATACCGGTTCTCACGGTATCATCTGAGTGAAAGTTATTCTTTGTCAATCAGTATGAGTAAGGAATTGTTTGTTGCACATTTCAGTAAAGTATGTAAAAATACAATGATCATCTTTCAAATACATTCATCAACATTTATTGTTGAATCACTTACAACGTTCTATAAGCAAGCAATAACAAAATCTACAGCAATCAAAATAACAATTGTTCATTTCCCAACGACAGAAGCATAAGTCATGATCCTTTTCTCTTTATCTTCTTTCATCACTTTATCTATTCCTTTTCCTACTTTTCTCTCAACACGTTTTCCCTTATCTCCTTTTGAGAATTTATCGTTTATTTCAAGTTGAGGGTTTTCAGGAATGTCCATTTCCATTTCACCAAAAACGATGACATGTCCTTCTTCTTCTTCTTCCTCGTCTATTTCCTTCCAACTCATTTCTGTTTCTTGGAAAGAAACATGTTCCCAATCATCTTCTTCTTCACTATCCATTTCCAACTCTCTGACCTCAACTGTATCCTTCAGTATTTTCGTGACTTGATCATCTTGACCATCTCCGGGGATCGCAGGGATTGAGTTCAGATCTGTTTGAGAGGTAAGGATCGGTTGTGAGGTAGGACGAGAAGGTAGTAATGTTGGTGTGGGAGGAAGTAATAACCATCTATTGGAAGATAAGAATGATTTCTGATTAGGTGGTTTGGGTGGATCAAGTGATAAGATGGAAGGATTAGGAATGAAATCGTATCCTAATGAAGATGCAACTGTCACTATTACAGTCAGTTATGTGTATTTCGTTTTCAAGTCCATCTATATCATTTTCCTCTATAATTACCTCGTTTCATTGTGTTGTGTCTTTTTTTGAAAACTTTATCATTCCAATACATTTATCTCTCATGACCATTTGACAATTCGGTACGAATTACTCGCAATGTCATACAGTACTCTACTCTGGACCAATCTCAGATACAGCTCCAATGACACGCCAATCACAGTGCTCAAAGGGACGAAAGAGGGGAGGGGAGGTGAGGGAATGAACAAACTCACATTTCTTTTCTCTACCTCTAGGAGCACCTTCGACCAATTCTTCCAATCCGACCTTTCCTTTTCTCCCCATTTCCAATTCTTCCGCCTTCTTACGAGCTATCTCCTCCGCTTCTTTCTGTGATCGATGGATGACCCTGGGACCATGATTCCCTACAGGGGCAGAACGAGGGAAATGAGGGACTAAATCTAATTCGGCTTGATATTCCAATGACGAAGAAGGTTTAGATTTCCTAGGTACTTGATGACCTGGTCGAGAACGTGGAATTGGACGAGGAGGGATTGGCATGATGGTTGAATTGTGTCTATAGGTTTCAGTTGGAGTATTATACGTATAGGAGAGTGAGACTTTGTGATGCACTCGAGATGGTAGGAGTAGGATTGGAAATGGGATGGATGGGTGGCGATTGATGTGTCGTGGAATCAAATTTGGAGAAAGACCGGGTGGGATGGGACAGGAGAGGACAAGGGATATGAGAAGGCGAAGATGATGGCGATGCTGTATTAGAACCTCGAGGTGGCGGAATGTGGGAGAAGAATAAGAGGACTGACTCCGAAGGAGAGAGTTGGGAAGACGGATCAGTGACGAGTGAGTGACAAGTGACAAGTGATAAAGAGGGGCGATGGATGAAAGTGATACAGTATATGTATGTACTCCGAGTCGACGATGACGATGATACGACTATGAGAAACAACGTGCTTTTCTCACCTTCACCCCCACCCCCTAACCAGATCCATGCATCCAGTACCGAGGGGGAAAGTGTGTGATCTGCCTCGTGGTACGTATCGATCACTCACCTCACTGTAGTATCCCCACTGATCCACTGAAGGTGATGATGGTCCTGAAAGATATTGATGAAAAGATGATAGATGAGTAGTAGGAATGCATGTAGAGTCTACATACCTTACAAAGCTGTACATCTGAAAACGTTTTCGGCCTTGGGGTAGTGTACGGTCATACGGCAAGCACCCAACGACGCAAACAACAAAGGTCCAACGTCAACAAGTGAAGAGTCGAGACGTCATCGACGCGTCCGGCGTTTCTTCCTTCGCCGAGATCCCGTGATGTTCACCACGTGGCAATGACAAAACTCGTTCTCTTCACCTCTCTAGGTCATGTTGCATAGATCGATAATGAGCAAACGTCGTCTCCACATCCTTGAGCATCTCTTCAGCCATTTGATAGACTTCGGTTCCTCGGTTGTTATACATTTGTGCGTTTCTGAGTGTCAGTCGTGGTACTGGCGCAGAACTATCAGACAAAATCGGAATCATTCGTGTTTGTGCATTCAAGTGATGGCCATAACCAGGAACAAAGCGATTCAATGGGGAGATTGAAGGGAAGAGATGATGAGTACGATGATGAGGGAAATGAGAACTCACGCAAAAATCAATAGAATGTCTCGCTCGCATTCATCGATACTCCCAATGGTTCCATCTCTCACTCTCGCTCGAACAGTTTTCAAATCCATAGGTCGTTTGATCACGTCGTAGTAGTCTGAAGCATCCGACTGTTGTAAGCAGTCATTCCTCCTTCTGAACATTCACTGGGTAGATCTACAGGACAGAGGGCATCAAAAGAACAATGTCACTCACCTTCCTCACTGGATTGGTAAATACCGGTGCACATTTATGCCCCATAATCTCCTCCAACAATGACAACAATAACCTCTGTAAATTCCTCTGATCCTTTGGTAAACTGTTCCTACCCCTTCTGGTAACTCTTCCAGTCGCTGAAGTCTCCACGATAGCACTCGGTGCTGATTCCGCTAAACTTGGTTGTTCCGACTGACTTGCAGTTCTCTCCCCCACACTCTCCGTTCCAGGTTCATCCTTTACCTTTTCCTTTTCCTTTCCTCTCGTCTTCCTCGAACGAGTCTCCTTCTCTGCTCCTATGGAATCAACCATCGTGTCTTTCGTTTCTGAACCCTCTACGGATTCTCCGACTTTGGGGACCTGTCAGATCACCATTCCTTTCGATTTCAATCTTAGAAATAACTTACTCCTAGCTGATTGTCTTGTCTTTCTCTCCTCTTTCTCCTTCGCTGGCGTTTCTTTCTCTTCACCTTTCTTTCTACCAGATCTTGTGGACGGTTTATCGTCAGGTGAATCAGGAACGACGGATTCAGTCTCTCTCACAGCTTTACTGACCACCTCATCTCTCATTCCCAAACTTCGACTTGGTCTTCCCTTCTTTGCGCCCTTTCCTCGTTTCTCCTCAGTCTGAACGGAAGAGACTACAGAAGTGACAGAAGGTGCTCTACGCGATACGGCGGGAGAAGATTCTCTGGTTCTGGTCGATAAAGCAGGAGAACCGACTTTTAATGAATCCCTTTTCGACTTTCTACCTTTCCGCTTTGAGCCTTCTTCCACTTCCGGCTGATCCACTTCCATTGGCGTTTCGGGCAATCCAGGTGGCGGCATAGGTGATTGACCGCTTTTTCGAGTAGTTCGTTTAGGTCGAGGAAGGTCTAAAGGTGGGAGAGAAGCTTTACGTTTACCGCGTCGTATAGCAGGAGTGTCAGCTGTGGTTGCGGAAGGAGCGGGAGAAAGGGGAGTTTCTGAACGATTTGATTCTTCGTCAGATGAGACTACTTGATCTTGATCTTCCTCATCTTTCACTGTTACGACTGGAGGTCTTTCTATGGGTTCGAGCGGCTCAATGTTCTCGACCGGTTCTTCAATCTCCAAAGATTCCTCATCAAGTTCCGCTTCAGTCGACTTGACCTGAATCGGCTCCTCATCGTTTACTACTCCATGTGACTTCTCCGTTTTTTCCTGGAGTCTGTCCACATCGGTCGACTGCTTTTTTTCCTCTTCCTCCCGTGTATCCGCATTGGATGTGATATTCGGGTCAGGTGAAGGTGTACGAGAGGGAGCTCCAGCCGCGGCAGCAGCTATGACCTCTTCTTTCGCTGGTATCCAAGAATCCAATAACCTTTTCCCATATTTTCTCTCCAGAACCCCCCGAAGCTCAGAAACGATGGCATTGTCCATCTTGCCAGATTTGATATCTTCAATCTCTGAGACCAGAGTGGTGAATCGCGCTTCATAAGATTCGATCGTAGATTTGAGCTCTTGCATTCGAGCGAGGTAGAAAGTCTGGGCAAGACGAAGATGGACTTTGGCTGAGGGTCAGCTATTGATTGGTACGTTTTGTAGAGTTCGGATCAGACAGACACATGGCAATACAGTGACTGAGTATGAGTGTGTGTAAGTTTGTCACGAATCAGGGAGGGCGCAACTGTTGGGACTGACCTTGAGGTTTGAGAGCGCCTTCTGCTGGTCTGAGAATCAGTATCCTCCCCTCGTCAACGTCAACTCGATCCTTGGTGATACACTCCAGCACGATCGTTCATTTCAAACGTCATTCAGGGGAGGGTGCTAAGTCAGTTTGGTCCTCCCAGTCGGAGCTAAGAGCTTAACATGGAAGAGATGCAATTTTGAGTATGACACGAAGTCAAAATGGGAGGAGGGTACAACTCACACATTCATCCCTATACTCTGCATCAACCCTACATAAGCTTCCTCACATTTCTCAGGAGTGAAAATATCCCCTCTCTGCGCATCCCCAATCACGTACGGATGTTGAGAAATCAATTTAGAGATCAAAGTCCAATCGAGGGCACCGTGTTTATGAACAGCCTGAGCTAGCAGGAGCTTCTCTTCCGTTCGGAGTTTGTCCGCTGCCACTATTTCGGGTGTTGGTAGAGACATGATGATGGTTCTCAACCTGTGGCCTGTGGACGGATACTGCTATGCACCCCACAATAATAATGTTGTAGGATGCTATCCAGCCGCTCGACCAGCAACACTGAGGTAAGTTAGTGATAACGTTTTAGGGGAATCGCCACGTCACACCGTACTCGAGTGGAGGTTCAGAGTGTTCTGTCCGCAACTTGTTCTGCGATTCACTCTACTTGCAATCAGAAGACGGAGATACGGAGAGGGAGGCAGCGGTATAAAGCAAAAGCCAAGATGTCAGATCTAGCAGCTGCTTTAGAGCCTTATGTCTTACTTGCCAAACCTGCCAATGGGCTTGCTGCCATGAAGATTGTTGAACAAGCTACCTCCGCTGTGAGTGTCCATCTTGGATTCTTTCCTTTACTTCTCATGCCAGCTTCGCTCCATGTAATACCCAATTACTCTCCATATCTTCAAGATGGATGTTGATATTCTGGAACTGACATGTAGCCCGGTGTATATGTATTCTCGGAATTATTGGAATTACCAAATATACAAGCTCTCAAGGTGTGTCTCGAACTTTGAGGAATGCGGATACTGATGGGGCCAGCAAGATCCATCCTCTGTCAAAGCGGTCAACTTGCTAGAGTTATTCGCCTACGGAACTCTGCAAGAATATACTTGTAGGTCGTCTCTGTAGTAACACTCTCACTCGAACACAACGTCAATCATTGTACGACTTGTCATGGGGAATGTTCCTTCTTATGTTAAATTCGACATCTCGACGTTGATTCCCTCCTCTCTGAAATTGTCGACGTAGTATTGTATAGCAGATGCAGGAGCGTGATTCTCAGCTGACCTATAGCTTCACCACAGTCATATACATCTCTCTCCCCTGCACATACGACCAAACTCCGTCATCTCACACTCGTCAGCCTCGCCAGTCAACGGAGGGTGGGTGTACTTTCTTCTTTCCACTTGCGAAGTCCTCCGTAACTCGATTTTGAGCTACTACCCGATGCCCATACTACTTTTTCGTGTCCTTCAGTGACACCTTGCTGCCTAATATGCTTCAAGTAGCACGGATCAGACGACAGCTGATAGCGCAGATATTACCCTACGCCGATATACTTCAAGCACTTCAACTTGACTCCGAAAACGAGTTAGAAGATCTTATCATTGACGTCATCTACGCTGGACTACTACGAGGGAGGATACATCATTATGAGAAAATATTACATATCGATTGGGTCGCAGGGAGAGATATAAGACCTGAGGATTTGTTGGTCATGCAACGGAGTGTGCAAAATTGGTCAGTTCTCCCCTCCTCCTCTGACTTCTCGTGCTTCATGTTTCCCACCTCGTCCTCTATATCGTCATTCAATCTGGTATTTACCGGTTTCAATTCTCGAAAAGCACAAACGATAGTCAAAAACAACAGCAGACATCTTCATTGACTTTTGCAAATACAGGCCGAGCTGATAAAAAGGTGCACAACAGCTGAAAACCTCCTTCGAGCTCTAGACACTCAGATCGCCTATACTCAAGAAACTACCGCCCAACAAGCTCATCACACTACCTTATACAACAGTCATCGTGACCAGATCTACACCGAAGTCGCTCTCGCTGCCAAAACTCCCAAACTCGACGGACGAAATGCAAGCTCGTCAGGTCATGCAAGACGTGGTGAGAGTAATGTAGGTGGAAGTGGGCATGGGAAGTGGGTGCGGCTCTTTTCTTTTCACAGGTTTAGCTGATTTTAGCGACGGTCATAGTCGACTCCGTTCAGCCGGTAGTGGAACTGCAGAGACTCGAAGTTCGAAACGACTCAGGGACGGGTTGTGATGTTCGTATCCATGGTGATATCCGTGTGATACTCCAACTAGATCATGACCGTCTTAACATCGACAAAGATGACTCTGCGATGAGACTATTAGTAGAGCGGGGAGAAACATGGGAAAATGTGAAGTATTGTATCATAGAGTCATCATAGCATGTTATTTCGTTTCCTCCAATCCTAAGAATGTCCTCGATGCGTAAAGTGAGAAATGGTACTGATCAAATTTCCCCTCCAACCCTCCCCCTGTTGCTTTTCCGTTTTACCTTCAATCCCATTTTCAACTTTGCAGCTTCCCTAGCTTCTTCACGTCGTTTTCTCTCCTTTTCCTTTTTCTGAACTGGAGTCAATGGTATATCCTCTTCTTTCACTCCAACCCCTCCTACAGACGCGCCTCGTAATCGTATCCGACCGTCCTGAAGGTGTTCGGTAATGACGGGTGAAGCGGCTGGTCGATATTTGTGTTCCTCAGAGTATCTATCATCCGAGCGTCAGTTTAGTTGCTTCAAATTACCGGAGAAACCCATCCAGAACTCTGTCAAAGATCAGAAGAGAAGGCGATTCATATTCCCCTCACCTCTCCCTCGTAAAGGGCAAATCAATTTTTCCCAACCAGACAACTGTTCAACAACCCCCTTCACCCTAAATATTTCGACGTGAAGAGAAAAACGAGACAATAGACAGTGAAATCGAATATCATGATCTTTAATACGGACATGAAATCGATAAGAGAGAAGTAGCAGTTTCAACACTTGATGAGGAGAGGTGATGAAGAATGGGAGAGTTCACATACCGGCTAGCATAAATCACTTTCGGTTTCCTCTGACTACTTCCTAACCTCACCGCAGCCCAACCTGTGAAAAGAACGAAAAGGACAAGTAAGAGACGTTTCCACCATGATGGAGGGGGACGGGCGAATTCAGATTCGACAGATTCACGAAGGGGTCGGAAAGAGGTGGGGTCGGTCAGACGGTCGTCATCGTTCACAGCGTTCTCATCGGTCTCCCCGGTGTTCACGGTCTCGGGGAGGCGATCGAACTCTTCGGCCTCGGCGTTGACGAGGCCCGAAGGCGGTGGCGAGGTGGGAAGAGGTTGGTAAGCATGAGAAGACATGGCAGTGCAAGACAAGTAAAGAAAAGAAGGAGGTCGAAAGGAGAGCGAGATAGACAGGTTTTCGAGCGGTTGTGGCGGTCGAAAGTGGCAATATCCGTCTTGTGAATGTTTCTCTTCTGACTTCTGGCAAAAGAAAAGAAAAAGGAGACTTCAGGATCTCTAATACGTCATGTCAACCTTTCATCCTTGCTATTAGGGTAATCCGCTAGACAGGTTAGTGTGAAAAGTATAAGAAGGAGTTGCAGAGGGAAAGAGGGAAAGAGGTCACTTATTTTTTCAACTCACCCTCTGTTTAACTTGAATCAGGACAATGAACAACTCCAACCGGCTGCCTGAACATGGGGAACAAATATACTTGGGCCCAGACGGTTTCACATATCATTCTGATGGGTATGGGAGTTACCACCGGAGCGACTGTCAGTCGACTGATCCCGCATATAGTCAGTACCCTACAACATTATACACCCAGCCACGGTACTTTCCGAGTGGCCCAGGAACCGAAGCAGGACCACCCGTGTCTCAACCACGGATGTCCGATACCTACAGAGCAACCATGGCCACCTTAGCATACCACCAGAGCCTTTTTGGAGGGCGTCTAAGCCAGAAACAGCGCCCTCAGCCGTGGGTCTGTCCCAACATACCAATCCGCAGGAGCCTTAGCCGATTTTTATTTGGAGCAGTGTGGTCTAGTTCGAGCTGAACGCAATCTCTGGTGGCCACAATACATGACTCCCCGCCCATCCAGGTACTAGACACTCTGCCTCATATGCCATGGTGTTACAGGGTAACGCCTGGTGTAGAAGGATGTCAGACTCAACAAGATTGGACAGAGTTGGATGGATGTCAAGGAAGGCTGCATTAGGTGGGGATGGGTTTTCCTCCTTTTGAGATTTCCCCATTGGGTTTGCTCAAAAGAGGTTTTTCACCCGTACAAGTAGGTACGTAGACCCTTGCAGCAGGAGATGGATTAGTTTGTAGTACTGGTGGCTTGCATGTGGAGTTAGTCAGCAGAGAGCCAACTTGTCACGGCCGTCAAATAACTTCTTTCCAATAGACCGACGGTCGACGAACCTCGGCTAACTTGGTGGTTCTAGCTCGATATCTCACCCAACCAGGAGGGCGCAGACGTCGAAAGGGATGTAACTACGGCGAGCTTCGGCGTAGTTACTCTATCTGGGGGGGTTTTCTCTGATGGCGATGTATCTCGTTTGTATGGTAGCTATCTCTATCAATCTTTCACTACTGACAACAATCAAGGATCGCTGAAGAACTTCAGCGATCTTCTCAGCTAATATTATCTACTCCTCCTAGATCTTCACCCATCCCTCTCGCGCTTTGACGTACTTCAACGCACTTCGTCCAACTTCCCCGAGTCCCCGGCCATACTTCCTCCCCTTTCGACTAACTCCGCCTAACATCGCTGCACTTCTGCTCCCATTGCCCTTACCTACCCTGACTCCGTCTAACTTTGCCGTACTTCGGATCCCCATTGTCCCTACTTAGCCTAACTCCGTCTAACTTTGCCGTACTTCGGATCCCCATTGTCCCTACCTAGCCTAACTCTGTCTAACTTTGCCGTACTTCTGCTCCCATCGTCCCTAGATACCCCTAACTCTGTCTAACTTCGCCGCACTTTGCCGTCCTTATGCTCCAGACCCCTGTATACATTATTCTCCCGTTGTACTTCGCCGTAGTTGGTCTCAGATGTCCTAGGTTACGTGTAGGGTGAGGAGGTTAAGACGTGATAGGGGTTTTGATGGTCAAAGGAGGGTCACCGATGGTGGTATATTTGAGCTGTCACAACGTAGTTCGTGACAGTCGCCCCCTCTTTAGCCACAAACGTCCTCGTGAGCATATGTACCTCTACCATGGCAGGAAAACTCAGCGGTGTAGTACCTCCCATTCTCTCTCTCACCTGCATTCCTTCTTCGCATTTCTTCTCTCTTCACCGTACTTTGTAGTCAGACCTCCTTTCACTCTGAGACCCGACAATGCAGGGCTTTCCTAACTTTGTCGAGGCTTGCCGTAACGACCCCTGTGTCTTTTTTTTGTAGGTGAGACACGCTTCCCAGATGGTAGCCAAACAACGCCATTGTTTATCGTTCATCGTGGTTAACTGTTCACGAGACACCCTAGCTAACTCAGTGCGAGAGGAAGGACCAACATCGGATGAATTCACCACCGTCGCTATGGAAGTTGACAGAGCGTTAAGGGCCGATACGAGTCTCATATTGTATTCGATGAGGGCGGACATATCTTTCCTATCGGCTTGGAGCTCAGTAGTCAAATCAAAAATGGGCGGAGCGGAAGGTAGCAAATTGTTTCTCTTCATCAGGGACGCGAGGATCTTCAGAGATGAAGGGGTGGACTAAGGGAGGAATCTCCTCTGATTGCTGAGTACTCTCCTCTGTCTCCTCTACTTCTTGGTCGAAGGATACAGCTTTCTTTTTCCCTTTTCCTTTAGGTGACTTGGACAAAGGGGTTTTGACGGAAGAGAGAGCACTGGGCAGACCGGAAGAAGGAGGAAGAGATGGTTGGCGGCTACGAGTCCCATGAGCAGGGGGTAAAGTCGGAGCAGGAGACTGCGAAGGGCGAGTGGTAGGGGTGGGGCGGCTTCGGACAGGAGGGGACGGACCAGCCGAAGGAGTGGCAGTGGGCCTAGACCCAGGAGAGCGACGGGGTGTTGGGCGAGAAGGACCAGCGACAGCAGGAGACGGGGGACAAGTGAGACGTTCGATATCCTCATCGGCCAGCAGGGGTCGGGATGAGCCGACTGTCGGAGGAGAAGGACGAGAAGAGGCTAAGTTCGCCAAAGGAACGGGAGAAGGAAAGCCGTCATCGTTGGCGGTGGGAAGGCGGCGCCGCATGGAGGGAGACGGGGTGGCCGGAGTGGACTGAACCATGAATGGATTTGAGGAGGGACTCCCCCAATTGATAGGAGGGGGGAGGGGAGAGTGGTCGGTGGAGCGAGGAGGGAATCCTCGAGCAGGATTGCCAGGAAAGAAAGAACAGGGGCCGGTGGTGCAAGAAGCACATCGAGAACCGCGGTTGTGAGGTTTGACCGGGCGAAGACAGGGCCAGCTTTTCCTCCCATAAGTGACGATCTCACGTCTATTGATTAGCAGGTACACCATAGGATTTAGAACAGACATACCGGCAACGATCACACGATTCCTCCACACTACACACTTCCCATTGGTCACGCTCAGCAGCAAACAGGTTCCACAACGTATTTTTGTCCCGCGCTGTTCGAGGGGATCCAGCTTGGCCAGAGGTCGAAGACGAAGGACGAGCACCTTTGGCCTTTTTCGCTGAAGGAGGAGGGGCGTTGTCAACAGTATCCGAAGTTTGGCCGCGTTTCTGCTCCTTCTCGGCCTTCACTCGGGCTTGCTCCTTGTAATACGCCACGTGCACATAGCCGTTGGAGTTCTGACCACGCACATATATCTCGGGGGAACCTTTTTCATCGATGTGGATGGCTGTGATAGTCAGCGCTAACACATAGGTACTTGTATAAGCTGGGACATACGACTCATAGCCAGGATCCTTGCTACCAAAGATGTGTCCGACACCTTAGAACCGCCATCTTCCGGCATATCTTCACCTCCCTCCATCTCATCGTCGGCTTCCACCCTTTCACCTTCCCCCATATCTTCATCTTCGTCGCTACCAATCTCAACAACGGTAGTGGTTCGACCCAATGTAGGTGACAGGCCAGGACGAGCGGGTTGGGCCTCATGCTGGCTAAGGGACGCGGGAACCGAAGATGGCGTCGGCGCCACACCGACAGACGTACCAGCTGCAGCTGGGGAAGCAGAGCCATCGGTGATGGCTAAGGAGCCGAGGCCAATGGAAGAAACCTGGCGGGGAGAAGGGGCAGACATGCGGGCGACTAACGTCAGCTACCGTCAACGATTAAGGGGAAGGTATGGGTCAAGAGTAGAACTCACGGGTACTGCAGAGAGTCCCCTCAAAGGCCTTACCGATGTTTAGGTCTCGGTCAGAAGCCATTCTGTTAAGAGTTTAAGAAGTTTTGGTAAAGAAATACGTTAGTGGGGTGAAGTAGTAGAAGCACAATTTTAAAGAGTACTGGGGAAGAAAGACGAACAGCGCTGAAGGGCTAGGTAGTTAGTATAATTGCTGAACTCCCTCGTCGTCAGGGAGCGGATAACCTCGCATAACATGTTGTCACAACAACAATAAACATCGTCACGACGATCAAAAGTTCCCACACTACGTGTCTCACATCCATAAATGCTAGGGATTTGCTGACAATCATCGATGACTTTTGGGGAACCTCGTACTCGGTGTCTCACATCCAACGAACCGACCCTGGACCGGTCGAAAGGCATTGATGAAGTGAGGGGAGGTTATACATGCTTACACGATCAAGCTGCACCGTCGCAACAACGTGTTGTGCCGGGAGAGGGTACTCACTGCTGCTGAGTTCTTTTCTCTCATCAAATATGAACAATGTGCTCACGAGGACGTTCACCGTAAGGAGGGGGGGCGAGTGTCACGAACTACGTCGTGACACCCCTAAATCCCACCAACAACGACCCTCCTTTGACCATCAAACCTCCATCAATTCTTGACCTCTTCGGTTTACACATATCCTAGGACATCTAGGACCAACCACGACAAAGTTAGGCGAAGTTAGACAGGTTAAGGGTGAAGGGAACCGAGGTACGACGAGGTTAGGCGAAGTTAGGTTGACTAGGGATGGAGGAAGCAGAGGTACGGCAAAGTTAGACGCGGTTAGAGGATCAGGTGTTCGGTGGTTCGGGGAAGTTGGCCGAAGTGTGTCAAAGCGCGGATGGGTTGGATGAATATCTAGGAGTGGTGGATACTATTAGTTGAGAAGATTGCTGAAGTTCTTCAGCAATCCTTGATTGTTGTCAGTAGTGAAAGATTGATAGAGATAGCTACTATACAAAACGAGATACATCACCATCAGAGAAAACCCCCAGATAGAGTAACTACGCCGAAGCTCGCCGTAGTTACACTCCTTTCGACATCTGCGCCCTCCTGGTTGGGTGAGACATCGAATTAGGACCACCAAGTTAGCCGAGGTTCGTCAACCGTCGGTCTATTGGAAAGAACTTATTCGACGGCCGTGACAGCCAATTAGAACTGAGCTCCCCTACTGGGAATGTAGCAAGAGTGGGGAATATTTGACCTCCTGCCATCACAGTTCCTGCAACCCACACAATCCCTTCGACTCCTATGGTACCAACGCTTCCTACCCTCAATCTGTCAAAACGTGAAGCAATTGTCTTGTTTCCATCTTCACCGGAACCTATGGAACTTATGGAACCTACGGAATCTACAGAACCTGTGTTTGCATTGAAATATTTGGATCATTTGTCTTTGTCTTTGGAGTCTTTGCCTCCGCCTACGGGAATGTCTATGGAGGAAGAAACTACAATTGAAGTATTACACCACATTGAGCAGGAACTTGGTGAACTTCTTAATCATCCTGATCTGAAGCATTACTCTCAATTTAAGAAGGTTATCCATGATATTCAATGGATTCAGCTCAAACTTGCCAATCCTCCTTCTTCTCATTGATCAACTTGATCTTTGGTCTAAAATGTAAAACGGTTACGGTTCACGATCTACAGTCAACTTATCATCATACATATACCGTTTAGTTGGATTTCCTGGTTTGCCGACTCAACATCTTTGATAAGACACAATCCAGGGTTTTGATGTGTGTCCGACGGCTCAATCTTTCTTTTCAACTTACAATGTTCTTCGGTCTCCTTTTGTATTCCTTCGCATCACTGTTCACATTCCATATGACTTTGCGATCTCCTTACCACTGTTCATATTCCCTACGACTTCACAATCTTCAATCTTCCTTCTAGTTGTCTCTACTGGTATGTACGTATGGTGTTATACGGGTATCCAGAAGTGGAGCGGATGTACAGTCGCTGTCAAAAGTTTCCGTACACCGATCATCGGAGACACCTCAATCACCCGGTTTTGTCCTTGACCCCTGTCACATCCCCCGTTCCTATGACCCCTATGCTATGTGCTGATGCATGCATTGCTGAATAATGATAGTCATGACCGAGGTGGAGGTGTATGCAAGATTTGGAAGCAAGAAAGTGCATAAGAAGGGTACTAGAGGGTTTCCTCTCCACCCGTCTTCCTCACCATGGTCACTATCCCTCAGACCCCTTCCAAACATGGTACCGTCATTGGTTTTCACAAAGCTGGGCTCACACTTGGTCAGATTGCTCGCAAGCTAGGCTGGCCTCGATCTACCGTCCAATATACAGTCGAAAGATACAAATGATATGACACTGCCTACGATCGCCCACGCCCAGGACGCCCTTCCAAGATGGAAAGAACTACTTGTCGAATTATCCGTGATATCACCCATCATCCCCAAGTTCCCTTCGGCTCTATTGCCTCCACATACAACCTTAGTGAACCCACCATCCGCCGCATTACGGCCAGACATGGTCTCCACCGCCGAGTCATGCGCCGTACCCCTTTCTTACGCCCACAAGCAATTGAAAAGCGGATCAATTGGGCAAAGGATAATGTAGGACAGGATTGGAGCCGAGTTATCTTCACAGATGAGATGTCTTTGGTGTTGGGACTTGCAAGGGGTGCTTATACAACTCGAGGAGTTGGACAGGCGTTTGATTTGAAACATCTTCAACCAACATTTCGATCTGGGAGGAAGTATATCATGGTATGGGGTGCTATGGCACATAATCATAAATTCCCTCTCATTCTTCTTCCTCCTGGAGGACTCAATGCCGCTCGCTATTCCGAGATTGTCTTACCAAAGCTGAAGGAGTATGAAGAGATATTGTCTGCAGAGATTGACCGCATGGTGAGTTCATGACAAGAGACAAGACAAAATTCCGCTGATTCTCTCCAGGTCCTAGTAGTTGAAGACAACGCTCCATGCCACAAAGCGAAACACAGTCAGCAAAGCGTGATACACTTGGTCTCCATTCACTTATCCACCCTCCCTCATCTCCGGATGTTAATCCTATCAAGAATCTCTGGTCAATGGTGAAGTACAAGGTTAGCAAGCGCCTTCCAAGAGCGACAAACATGGAGCAGTTGTTTGAACATTGTGTGGCGGAGTGGGAAGCTATAGACATGACATTGTCAACAAGGTGGTGGCTAGCATGCCAAGGAGGGTTGAGGCTGTCAAGCATGCGAAGGGGTACGCTATCAAGTCCTAAGATGGGCTGTAGACATGTGTCACAATTTGGTAAAGCCGTGACCCATGATTCAGGGTGTTTCACACTTTTCATACGATTTCATACGATTTCATATGATTTCATACAATTTCACCCGAATTCATATGAAAAGAGCACAAATTCATACAAAATGACCACGAATTCACATGAATTCATACGAAATAACCCGAAATCATACGAACAGTTTGCGACTCAGAAGTCCCTTGGAAAAGGATATAAGGAGGACATTTCTATTTTGTAGTTTCTTCTTCTCAAGGATCAAAATATTATTTGCCACTCACAAAAGACCTCTTCTTGACATATTACTTACAATCCAACACATCCCTCACCATCATCACCCCTGTCCACGTCATCACATACACCCTTATCGTCATCTTGACTTGCCCGGATCCTTTGCAAGTCACTTTAGTCGTCCGACCACATCACAAGTCTACGGACAACATACTAACCGTCGTTGTCCAAGCTAACTAAACAGTTGCAGTCCACCTGTCTTTGATCCATCGAGGTCTGTCAAGGACAGGACCGTGACAACATGATTGAACTAGCAAAAATGCATCTAAACATCTATAGAAGAAGTGGTTAACCGATGATCGATGCGCGCGCGCGGATTGTACGGAGACTTTTGACAGCGACTTTACATAGAATGTTCCATATCTATCTCTTTCGATGCATCTCATTCTATCATTGTAAACATAAACCTCAACAGATACAGTCTTGGTTCAGGATGTCACAATGGTTTGTGACCATCATCAATCTCATCATCATCAGAATTCAGGTCTGCATACTCACCTGGCCATTTTGCGTCAAGATGTTCAAAGATAGCTGATTTGCAGGACTTTAGCATGATGTACGCTGACTCTTCCAGTTCAGGATGTGTTCTTTTACAGATGGCCAAAAATAGTTCACTGTGTGTGGGGCCATTCTTTGTGGGTTTTGACCCTATGTCACTAGTCAGTCCTTTTCTTAGCGTTTTGACTGCCTCAGCAAGCTTTTTGACCCAGTGAAGGTTGTCTAGATGTCACCAGCAACCCATATGAACAGGGCAAACATACCTGACATGTGGGCCCACATACGAAGATCGACTTGTGTAACAGTGAACCCCAATTCAGTCAGTACTCTTGTTTTTCTTAATTCTGTCTGGTACTTTTCCAGCATCTTGCAGGTGACCACAAAGTGCGCCTTTGGTTGACTTGTGTTGGGGGTTTTATCAGACCCAGTCAGATATTGTGCAGCAAGCGTGTTTGGGAATTTGTTCTCACAAGTGAGTCTCAAGGCATCAAGGACCTCTCTTAAATATAATGTTGCCTCTTGTGTAAGGTCTGTTTTGGTCACATCCTTGTAATTTGCCTTCACACTGTTTACCATGTTGGCTATTACCGCCCTTCCAAATTGAAGTGACTCGCCGTGATCTCCCTCCATATAAAACACCAATGTTGACAAGCCCTTCTCAGCGTAATACCACAGTTCAAATTCCTCTGACAGTCAACATGTTTCAACTTGCAAGAGGGATCTCACCTGTGTTCTCTAGCAACCTGGAGTAGGGTGCTGATACAAAAGCTTCAATGCCATCTGGTGGTTCGTCCTACACAGACGACTGAACTTTAGCAAGTACCATCAGTGCTGTCGACCCCATTTGTGAATCCGCCATTGTGTGTGTGTGTGTGTGTGTGTGTGATTTGACAGGGTAGAATCAACAATCACCCATCTTATAGTTCTTTGGTAGACGACTAGATGTACGGGTCATCCGCTGGCGCGGAAGAATCTGACCGAAATGCCGCCAGCCCGATAGTTACAAAGTTGACGATCTTTTGTCATTCCTATCTGACCATTCCGAGACCACCCGAAGAATCCTGCGGCCGGATCCCGTCATCGCGATCTCTTTTGTTCAATGGCACCGCTCTTAGGGTCTTTGGCTTAATAATACGTTCCCACCTCTCCCGATTCCACCCGATTCCGCAAGCATTAACTCGCGCTCCATCTTTGCCAGATTATCAGATCGTCTCTCGTCCCCCCGGTCTCCGATGGACGATTTGACAAATCGACAATCGAAGACTCGTGGCCGGGCGACCGATGTGCGTAGTGCGTCATAGTGTCCGGTCTCTCCTCACCTCCGTTCTCTTCTTGATACCATCCTCACCCTCTATCCGGATCTTTACTTGGTACAAGACCGTTTGCCCGGTATTTTGCCTCTAACTTCCCCCTGTCCTCCCCCAACGTCCGGGCTGGTCCAACGGCCGATGGCTGTGGACGTCTTCGAATGAATCAACCCATTTTCGGTCCAGCGAGAGGACTTGCCAGTACGGAGGGAGACGAGGGAAGATACAGTGAACTGATCGCAGGAGCGAGCATCATGCTGGGTCACACTTAGCAGAGGTTGACTGGAGGTCATCAGTAATGTGCGTCCTGCTTCTCCGCGGCCGCTCTGTATTTCTGATCAACGGAGCTGATGACAGGATAACACACATTCGTTTTCTATGTCGACCCTTATCTCCCATCCTCGTCAGCTGTCCGGCAGCTTAGGGTGCTAAGCTTGCCACTCTGATTCCCGGCTCGCCCATCATCGTTATCCCCCAAACAGATCCTGTAAACATCGAAAGAGGCGATTGGCAACCTTTGGGACGAGACCCACCACTCTCTCAACCGCTCGACACGCCCCAATTTCTCCCTAGGAACCGCTTGGCCCGGAACCCGTCGAGCCTCGTGCTGAAACACTCCCCTAGCGAAAGTGAACCTGCAATGGCGAGCGTCAGTGACGGGAATGATCAAGAAGGATCACTGCTTCGAACCGTTGAATAGGATGAAATGAATGTCACTGTTTCGGCTTGTCTGTATGTAACACTTCCCCTTCTTGGCAAACCCCAGAGTAATTCTCACCAATGCCAACGACCAAACGATGCGGAGAATCTCGTCCAACACGTATCAGATTGAAAACGAAGTTAGGCGCGTCTATCGACACGACTCAATCAGTCTGGACTGCTTACCACAGGAGATTGGTAGCCTATGTCGAAGGTCACGGAGGTCATTGGATGTGTCGGAGTTTCCACGTTGATGGCTAGTTCAAACCCCGGATTTCTTCTCCTGTACGGGTGCCCGCTACCCCGGGGGGAGCTGGACAGCCTGTCGTGAAGTCTATATATTTTGAACCAATCAAGCTTTCCCCCTTCTCCACTAGTTTTCCCCTGGAGAATGAGTTCAAGTACTGCATCCTCAGTGAATGGACAGCAATCCAAGACCAATGGGGTAGCGTCGACCACACGTACTGGTCTCACCATACTACGGTGTATGCTTCGTCCTGTTGACAACTGGCACATCATGCAATTGGAATCTTCAAGTGTTGCCCTCAAAGTGATCAATCCTACCTTGTGGAGGAAGCAGAGCAAGCTTCCATTGGCAAAAATGGGAGTGTACTGATTGTGTAGATGATCATAAACTGGTGAGCACAACCTGCAACACTATCAGAACTGTCATCACCTATCTGAAAAAGACCTATCTGGAAAAGGCCCCTGAGGATAAGATGGATTTTAAGCGACGCAGACTGCTGGCAAATGCTCTGACAGACCCAAAACTCACGCAACATGGGCCAATTTGTGAGAAGGAGTGTTGGATGCTCTGAGCATCACACTCAGTGACCTGGAGCAACATGTTATGACCCGGTCAGACCGACTCGTGACATAACCCATGCTTTGGCTCATTCAGCTCTATCAGAGCTCATGTAGCTGACCAGAGCACTATACGGTCCATGAGCTAAATACAGATCTTTCTATGAAAGCTTGGCAAGCTTGGCCACAGCTCTACCGAAGCTCTTTTAGATCATATGAACTGGCTCTTGGCTCGGGCAAGGCTCGTTAGTTTTGTTAGTAAATGGGATATGAGCTATGGAATAGCTCACTGAGCCTAGCTCACTCTGATAGCTCTAGGTAGACTATATAAACCCCGTATCTACTTTGGAGTTGCTTTTCTTCTCCAAGGATCAATATATTATTTGCCACTCACTGAAAACCTCATCTTGACATACCTTCTAACTCGACCACTTGACAGCTCAAGCAAGCAGTACTTCGACACTGCTTGTCATTAACTTGCCACTGTCCTCATCACATTTTATCCCTTCATCATCATCTCGACTTGCTCGGATCCTTTGCAAGATACTTAGTCGTCCGACCACATCACAAGTTTACAAACAGCATACTAACTTACTGACCGTCGCTGTTCAAGCTAACTAAACAGTTGTAGTCCACCTGTCTCTGATACTTCAAGGTCTGACAGGGACAGGGTCGTGACACAACGTTCAAGCTCAACAGGCAGTGGCACTGCTGGCTTCCAGTGGTGTTCGGATGTGTACGACAAGTGCAGTTATGATGATAGTAAAGAGCTGCATTGAAGACTACGGAATAAAATGGTATGACCAATCCGTATTGCAGTTACATGGCATTCCTAATCAACACTCCCCCTGATGACACTAACTCCAACAGACAAAGTAACATGTTCTAAACCAACTAATGAGATTGTATTGTAAATCAATGGGATCCATATTGCAGACCTGGACGTACGGGATGTAAAGGCATGTGTCAAGGATACTGCCCACCCTGGGACAGAGGACAAGGGACAAGGGGACAAGGACTAGGAGTGACAAGGAATATACTTAAGTTAACAAGACTGAGTCCAACAAGGAATGGGACTGTGACCCAAGGAATGTCTCTGGCTTGTCTTACAAGGTTAGAGGGAACTGGACTGGACTGGACTGGACTGGACTCCAAAAGGGTGGCAATGGAAATGACTTTTGATCAAGAACTAAAGAAGACTACAAAGTACAAGATAGGGTTTATATAGACAAATCAGCCTTTTCCAAGAGGCTCGTGCAGACCTGCGGAATACGAGCGCTCTGAACCGTCCTGCATTGTCCTGCATGCATTGCCTTGCATCCCACCGATAACCACTGATATCCTACAATGCCATATCTGCGTTTACCTACGTCCTACTATGACATCCTACGGGATGCGCTGGAAGTCGCTTGACTTTGTCGAAGGTGGTCGATGGGGAACTATGCAGAACATAGAAGTGCTGCGAGAACAAGAGACTGAGAGATTATGCCTTAGCAGGCATTAGAACAGAGGGACTAGAGACTAGAGAATTACTGGGGACTTATGCCTTGCAAGCATGGGAGCTAAGCACCGACATACTAAAATGATACTTGGAGTTTATGCCTGACAGGCATGAGAGCAGAGGTGAAATGTTAAAACACAAAAGTGGAGGTTGAACTTATTTTGCGCAACAAGGAACACGTGATGGTGTGATTCATGACAGCATGAATCATGAGCAAACCAGGAAATCTTGTGTGCACAGTACGAAGTGTTCGGTACGACACATAGTGCGTTGTACAATTTGAAGGATGTTGATTTTGAATCGTGTGGATTGTAATCTGAATTGACAAGATGAGTGTGGGAGGTGAGGAGAGATACAGAGTGTGATGTTGAACCATGTACAAGTTGAACTCAAAGACAGTTCTTTTTGTGTGGTTCTGTTGGTAGGATCTTTGTAAGGAAATCCATGTCTTGCAATTTGGATTGTACGAATTTGAGTTTCAATTCACCATTGTATATCTTCTCACGAATATAATGACGTCATAAGTCTATATGCTTCAATTGAGCATGCATACCAGGATTGTGTGCGAGTCGTATCACACTTTCAACTAATGAGATTGTATTGTAAACCAATGGGATCTGTATGGCAGACCTGGACGTACGGGATGAAAAGGCATGGATCACAAGCAAACCAGGAAAGCTTGTGTGCACAGTACATAGTGTTCAGTACAACGCTCTATGTGTCTGTCACGAGACCAACTAACCAGCATTGGGACGATATAACAGTGCCCTTCAGAGGCAGCGGTCTAAACCATTGTGCTAAAAGGCCTATTAACCGGCGGTTACTGCATACCGCCGGTCGCTGGTTAAATACCCAACCCATCCTATCACTATCACTATCAAAGTGTCTTGTCACTTCGTGACATTATGCCTTCCCTTTCAACCCCATCTGGGGCCCCAACAGGGAAGGGTACAATAGGCCAAAAACTTTCTCCGAGAGGGAGGTTTTCCAAGTAGGTCTGGGTTACCCCAGCTCTGTCTGGGAGTCGGACCCAGGACCCTACCCGTAACCGCCGGTTAATCTGTCACGAGACCAACTAACCAGCATTGGGACGATATAACAGTGCCCTTCAGAGGCAGCGGTCTAAACCACTGTGCTAAAAGGCCTATTAACCGGCGGTTACTGCATACCGCCGGTCGCTGGTTAGATACCCAACCCATCCTATCACTATCACTATCAAACTGTCTTGTCACTTCGTGACAGTGTCGTACGATTTGAGGGATGTCGATTTCAAATTGTGTGGATTGTAATCTGAATCAACAAGATGAGTGTGGGAGGTGAGGAGATACACAAAGTGTGATGTCGAACCGTGTACAAGTCAAACTCAAAGACAGTTCTTTTTGTGTGGTTCTCTTGGTAGGATCTTTGTAAGGAGATCCATGTCTTGCAATTCGGATTGTACATATTTGAGTTTCAATTCACCATTGTATATCTTCTCACAAATGTAATGATGTTGTACGCCTATATGCTTCGATTGAGCATGCGTACCAGGTGTAGTGAACCTGGCTGTCCCCTACATGAGGAGGAGTCCATAGTTCCCTTCCTCGCCCTTCTTCTTATCATCCACGGCATACTTAGTGTGTAGTTTCTCTCAGACAAGAATCCTTTACCCCTTGTCCTCTTTCCGTAGACAAGGTGTCTCTCTCCTTAGAGGGCTCCTAACCCATAAAAATCCCTGTACTGTCAAATATGACGTAGCTGTTCTGTACTATGGATCCCCAATCATGTATATAAGCTGGGTCTGAGGGGGATCTCTTCCTCCATTGTCTTTTTTCTCCCATCCTCTTTCTTCATTGTCTTTCTTCTCACTTCTTCTTCTCCCTCCGTCTTCTCCTCTTTCTCCTCCTTCCTCTCTCAGATCCTCTTTGGTTTCCTCTATACACTCTTGACTGACCATTACTGACCTTTGATCCATTGTTGACTAGTATTATCCACATCACAGAGTTCCAATTCACTATTCAGCCCTACGGGTAGGTTACATTCCTTTATTTGTGGTGATCCTCACAAGCAGGATCATTACACCAGGATTGTGTGCGAGTTGTATTGCACTTCGATTATCGCAATTAAGTCGTGTTGTAACTTACTTGAAACCAAGTTCATCCAATAGACTTCATATCCATATGGCTTCAGGAGCAGCTTCTGCTGTTGCGATATATTGCGCCTCCATTGTAGACTGCGCAATCCTAGCTTCTCTTCAACACTGCCATTGGATAGGACTATTGCAGAACTTGAATAGGTAGCCAGTCATAGACTTTTGTGTTTCCATACAACCAGCAGAATCTGCATCCACTCATCCTTCTAGTTGATACGGTTCTTCCCCAAGCTTGAGGACGTAGTCTTTTGTATGTACAAGATACAACATTACATGCTTTGCAATTGCGAGATGCATTTCAGTCGGCTTGGCTGAGAATTGAGCGAGATATTGTGTTGTGAAGCATACATCAGGTCGTGTCAAACTTGCAATCCACATCAATCATCCAATGATCTTGAGATATGGAGTTGTAGCTTCAAGCGGTGTCAAAGTGGTGTAAAGATCCTCTACATGTTGTGGGAGTGGAGTACCGTAGGCTCAAACCGCAACCGAGTTCTCCGCAGCTGCACGTTCAAATATACACTGGTTGCAATAGGTGAATTGTGCAATATGTACAATCACAAACTACCTTGAGCCCTAGTACTTGTTTCATCTCCCCCATTTCTGTCATTGTCCACTTCAACTTGAGGAATTGCATGAGTCGTACAATCACATCTCAAGTTCAAGCTGCAATTGGTAGGCCGTCCACATATGTGAGTACAATAATAGGACCATCTGAACCTTTAGATGCCTTGTAGTACATTCCCCAATCTGATTCAAGTTGTATGTTGCAAGTGCATTACCGAGTTCGAATCACCATACTCGTGCTGACTGTTTGAGACTGTACAGTGACCTGTACAATCGTAAGGTATTACAACCAGGAGCACAAGCCATACCTTCTGGGTACCTAATGTAGATTTCTTCTTCAAGTACACCATTGAGATAGGCTCCCTCAACATCTGCTTGATGTGTTACAAGATTATACAACGCAGTGATTGTAAATACACGTCGTAGGCTGACCATACAACTTACCGGTGCCTACGTTTCTTGGTAATCAATACCAGGTTGTTGCAAGAATCCCTTTGCTACGAGTCGAGCCTTATACTTGAGGATCTTCCCATCTGCATCCTTCTTTATTGCAAAGACCCCTCTTGAATCAATAGCTTTACAACCTTGCGGAAGTGTAGTCTCCTTCCATGTATTCTTCAACTTGATATTGTGAAGTTTGCGAGTCATTGCAATCTTCCAATCCGTACTCTGCGGACTACAAAGAGCCTCCCCTGCAGTCTACGGTACGACATCATTGCCTTCTATTGCAAGTATCATTGCAACTTCACTAGCAAGACCATAGTGTGATGCTTGAACAGGGAACCAGATGTAGAGAGTGTACCTTGTATGTTCATACAATCTCTAATTTGTTTGCTTGTTGTCATGAATCACAAGTATCAGTTTCCTCATGTTATAGTTCTGCTCTGATGCCTTTGAGGCAAGAGACCTGAACCTTTAGTTAGTTATGTTATTCTCAGTTAACATGCCTGATATGACATTAGACCTGTCACGAACTACGTCGTGACACCTCGATTACTCCACCAACAATGACCCTCCTTTGGCCATCAAAACCCCATCACGCCTTAACCTCTTTACTCTACACGTAACTCAGGACTTCTGACACCAAGTACGGCGAAGTTAGACGGAGTTAGGCTAAGTAGGGACAATGGGAGCAGAAGTACGGCGAAGTTAGACGGAGTTAGGCTAAGTAGGGACAATGGGAGCAGAAGTGCGGCGATGTTAGGCTAAGTAGGGACAATGGGAGCAGAAGTGCGGCGATGTTAGGCGGAGTTAGGCTAAGTAGGGACAATGGGAGCAGAAGTGCGGCGATGTTAGGCGGAGTTAGTCGAAGGAGGAAGAGGATGGCCGAGGGCTCGGGGAAGTTGGACGAAGTGCGTTGAAGTACGTCAAAGCGCGAGAGGGTTGGATGAACGTCTAGGAGGAGTAGATAATATTAGCTGAGAAGATCGCTGAAGTTCTTCAGCGATCCTTGATTGTTGTCAGTAGTGAAAGACATAGAGATAGCTATATACAATCGAGATACATCGCCATCAGTAGAATAAAACCTCAGTTAGAGTAACTACGCCGAAGTACGCCGTAGTTACACTCCTTTCGACGTCTGCGCCCTCCTGGTTGGGTGAGACATCGACTTAGAAGCGTCAAGTTAGCCGAGGTTCGTCGACCGTCGGTCTACTAGAAGATAGTTGTTCGACAGCCGTGACAAGACCCAAGACTTCAGTATAGTTGGATTTAAGGCAAACATATGGTTCACGACATAAAGCGTGCTTTTTGTGCAGTCCACAGCGTATCACACGCAGCACGCCGAGAAAAGTGTGCAGTTTGTCTTTGCTAGTTAGAAAATGATAGGTACATCAAGGATTACAGCGTTTCCCTACGCAGGACGGTTCAACCTGGTAGAAAGTCTGATTTGTCTATATAAACTCTACTTTATACTTTGTAGTCTTCTTTAGTTCTTGATCAAAAGTCTTTTCCATTGCCACCCTTTTGGAGTCCACTCCAGGCCACTCCAGTCCAGTCCAGTTCCCTTTAATCTTGTAAGACAAGCCAGATACATTCCTTGGGTCACAGTCCCATTCCTTGTTGGACTCAGTCTTGTTATCTAAGTATATTCCTTGTCAGTCCTAGTCCTTTTCCCTTGTCCTTCGTCCTCTGTCCCAGGGTGGGCAGTATCCTTGACATTCGGTTTAGTAGGGTGAAGTTCGTGGAACTTGGCCAATGCTTTGTCAGCTCCATCTACGTTCTCTGCTGGTTCCCATGAAGCCGTGTCATCCGTCCCTTTGTATCCTGACCATTCTACCGCGTACTCTAACTTTCCTGACCTCTTATTCACTCTTGAATCCACAATCCCTTTTACTTCCCACAACTCTCCTACGTTGTCCACCTCCACTGGACCAGGTGGTTCAGCTAGCTGACTAGGAAAGACTGGAGGATGGTAGGGACGGAGTAAAGAATCATGGAATACATCATTCTTACCTGCCATCGTTCCTGGTAATTCTAATTTACAAGTGTATGAACCTACCTACCGTACTACCTTGTACGGCCCACTTTGTTTCACATCCAACTTCCTCATTGGTCTCTTAGTCTTGATACTCTCCAACAACCACATGACTAGGTCACCTTCCACAAAGTTTGGCGTAGTTCCGTGTTTCCTATTATATCCTTTGGCGTACTTCTCATTAGCCTTCTCAATCCCTTCTATGCACTCCTTATGTATCTCCGTCAGATCCTTTACTACTATCGTAGCCGCAGGTACTTTGACTTCACTAGTCTCAATTTCCTCAGCCCACCGAGGGTGGTACCCATAGTTTGCATAGAATGGAGTCTTGTTTATTGCGGAGTGATGGGTATTGTTGTAGGTGAAGCTTGCTCGTCCAAGCAGCTTTGACCAGTTGTCCTGTTGGTAAGACGTGAAGATTTGGAGATACAATTTTAAGGATTGATTCGTTCGTTCTGTCTGCCCATCAGTCTGTGGGTGATACACAGTAGAGAGATGTAGGCTTATTCCAAGACTATTGGTTAGGTTCTTCCAACACTTTGATGTAAACTTCAATCCTCTGTCCAATACCATGCTCTCAGGCAACCCGTGCTGAGCCACCATGTAGTCCATTATCAGCTCAGATAGCCCAGCTGCCGTTAAAATTGTCATAGTCGGGATAAAGATTGCCCATTTAGTTAGTCCGTCGACCACCTCCAGAATGGAGTTGTATCCAAAAGAAGCTGGTAATTCTTCAATAAAATTCATAGATATGCTGGATCACGGTCTGGTCACAACTTGAAGTGGTTTAAGTTCACCATGCGGTTTCTGCCTGTTTGTTTTAGCCCTCTGGCACACAGCACAGCCACCAACATAGTCCTCAACGTCTTTACGAACACCTACCCAGACATAATTCCTCAAGACCAGCTCTAGGGTTTTGGCTACCCCAGGGTGTCCAGCCAGCGCCGAATCGTGCCAAGCCTTCATAATTTTAAACCGAGCTTCGGCGTAGTTTGGCACATATACTTGACTATTGAAGGTGAGGAATCCTTGTGTTGACCAACCGGCTCAAAGTAACAATGGTGACCAAGAACTCCGCTGAAGTACGGTCACTGACTTGGGTTCCTGTATGTTATCTCGACAGGTATCATGAGAGCACTCAGCGCATATTAAGCCAAGCATCCCTCTTCTGATCTCCACTACCTCTTGCTGTCACAAACCATGACTAACCAGCGTCCGGCTGTATAACAGTGCCCCTCGGAACAGTGATCTAAACCACTGTGACAAAAAGGCCTATTAACTGGCGGTTACTGCAAACCGCCGGTCGCTGGTTAAATACCCAACCCATAACTATCAACTCTAACCAAACTGACTTGTCACTTCGTGACACTTGCTCTGCCTTCTGTCCTTTGATGAGATCTAGCGGGTCAATCAAGTCACTGTCCTTCAGCTCTTTAGTTCCTTGTAGAGCTCGAAGAAGGTGTTGTAACCCAGACGTAGTCTGGTCAACTTCGTCAAACTTTGGCGAACCTTGGATAAGGTTGCTGTCCTGTACCATTGTACTTCCCTTTACGGAATGATAATCTGCTCTTCTTGAGAGTCCATCTCGTAGCGTAGCCTGCTTTCCCGGTCGATACACCATTTTAAATCTGAAGTTAGAAAGTTCTTCAACCCACCTGCCCTGCCTAGGGCTTAGCCGCTTTGGTTCCATCCAATAGGTCAAGTTGAAATGATCCGTGATGTCACGGGCGGGTCTGATCCCCAATGGGTAGGCAAGGTGACTGGAATGGCGCTGTAACCCAATACTTGTCTTGGGCTCGTAGAGCTGAGGAGTATACAGAGGGTGACAAGGGACTGAGTGGACTGAGGGGACTGAGATGTCAGGCTGGGACTGACTGGATTGACACAAGATCCATAGGTGGGGAACAACCTGTTTGGAGGGGGTATTCATCCCCTGCAAGTGGGTTGCTCAACATATCTACGGAAAATACTAGTTTGCGCAAACGCGGGAAAGATTGCCCAGTGTTACGACCTGGCTAACCAGCACCAGGCCATACACTGGCCATGCATGTGACATCTTATGCCACTGCGCTAAAAGGCACAATATCGCAATCAGCCCTATGATTGCGATCCGGTTATAACCTGATGTCACGACTGAGGTTGCAGGGTCGTGACAGGAGCCCCTCCTTTAAGGGCCGAAGTCCCTTGAGGCCTTCAGGTTTAGTACCCAAACCTATTATGGTTTGACAGCGCTTTGGGTTCGATTCTCAGAGGGAGAGACTTTTGGCGGCGGACCTCACCCGCCACTGCCACATCCCACCAATGTGGCAGAGCAAATATGATGTGCTCTGGGTGGGGATCGAACCTGCTACTGTTTGATTGCGATATTCTGTTACGACCTGGCTAACCAGCACCAGGCCATACACTGGCCATGCATGTGACATCTTATGCCACTGCGCTAAAAGGCACAATATCGCAATCAGCCCTATGATTGTGATCCGGTTATAACCTGATGTCACGACTGAGGTTGCAGGGTCGTGACACCCAGCGAGCAGACTAGATTATTTTTTTGGGAAAGTGGAGGCAGGCACTGAATGTTCCGGACTACGGATGATTGCTCAGCAACCAAACAGGATTACTATTTTGGGAAGGTGGAGGTAGGAACAGGATATTCCAGAGTGTGGACGCTTGATAAGCAAGTGGAGATAAAGGTGGAGGCATTCAGGAATGTTCCAGCATTTGGAGGTGGAGGTGTAGGTATTCTGGGGTAAGTGTTTCAAGTGTCTGATTGCGCAAAAGCACTTTGACGAGTGGCAAATAGGTGATGTATGACACGTGAGAACTACAGTCTCTACCTGCAGCAGTAAGTGTCTCCTTCTCCTGAAAGCTTTGACAATAGCTAATAATTCCTTTTCCACTACCGTGTAGTTCAGTTGAGCTGCTTGAAAGGCTCCAGACTCTATGGCCACCGGATGTTCTTGACCTAATTCGTTTACCTGCGAAGTTATGAAACCCCAGCCGAAGAACGACACATCTGTCTGTAGTAGCGTCTTCAACGAAGGATTAAAGTGAGCCAAGACCGGAGCCCTACACATTCTATCCTTCAATTCCTCAAAGTATTCTTCCTGTTCAACTCCCCAAACAAAAGGTATATCCTTCCTTGTGAGATCATTGATTGGTTTAGCAATCCGGGAGAAGTTGAGGACAAAACAACGGTAATAGCTGACCACTCCCATGAATCCTCTACTCTCTCTGAGGTTCTTAGGACAAGGGAAAGAGACCACAGCATCAACATACTCCGGGTTGCTCGAAATTCCACTCTGAGAAACAACAAAACCCAAGAAAATCACCGAATCTCTTTCAAACTCGCACTTACTAGCTTTCACAGACAAGTTTGATCTTCGCCGTAGTTTCTCTCAGTTCTTCCAACCTTTGGCCATAGATGAGTATATCATCTATATAGACCACTATTCCTTTTCCTAGTAACTCTCTGAAGCTTCCGTTCAAGAAGTGTGTCACAAGACCAACTAACCAGCATTGGGAGGACATAACAGTGCCCCTCAGAGACAGCGGCCTAAACCACTGTGCTAAGAGGCCTATTAACCGGCGGTTACTGCAAACCGCCGGTCACTGGTTGAATACCCAACCCATCCTATCACTATCACTATCCAAACTGACTTGTCACTTTGTGACAAAGTGCTGGAATACAGCAGGAGCATTTTGGATACCATCACAAACCACAAGGGATTCGAACATACTGTACTGGGTCCTGAACGCTGTCAAGTGTTCGAATCCTTCCTTTATTCGTAGCTGGTACGCTCCAATGAGATCTAGCTTGCTGAAATACCTCCCCTTTCCCAACTCCTTGGTTATCTGGCCGATCAGAGGTAGTGGATAAGCGTCCGGTACCGTCACTTCGTTTAACTTTTGGTAGTCAATGACCATTCGCCATTGGCCTTTTATCTTTTTTGGTACCAAGAACATGGGTGATCCGTACGGCGAGTTACTGGGTCGGATCCTTCCAGCCAATATTTCACGATCTAGTATGTCTCTCAGCACATTTTTCTGATCTTCTCCAAGAGAATAGAGTGGAGCCACCTTCAGGTTTGCCCCCTCCTTCAGATCAAATTTCAAATCATACTCCCTCAAAGGGGGTAATTCCTCACCTCCCTTCCTCGGGTTGAACACAATCATGAACAAGTGAAATTGTTCAGGAACGACCTGATACAACTCCTCCTGTTCCTCTGGACTCAGTTCATCCTGGTCATCTTTGTCTTGGAGATCTATCACGTCTGTCGGAGTTGGTGGCCCTATGGCAGCCAACTTTGCCAAACTTGGCGGTGGTAGAATGGGAAACTTCACTGTGTTATCCTTTCCATCAAGAATAACACCTTCTCTCCTCGTCCAATCCCACCCTATCACTGCGTCTGCGTCGCAGAGAGTAGTCACATTGAGACAAACAGATTGCACTTTGGCGTCCTTTGTCAAACAAAACATAACTTCGACGAACTTGCTAATAGGTCCAGCAACACTAAACAAGCCGTTGAACATGTGAACGGGTACACTCACTGGGTATTTCCTTCTTGTAGCCCTCATCCTTTCTACAGCCTTTGGACTAATGTATCAACAAGTAGCCCCAGTGTCCCAGAGCGTGGTTAGTCTGATTTCATTAATGAAAATGTCCAATTTTGGTTGATCTTAGAAATGGAAGGGATAAGAAGGTGACTATCGGTGTTGCATAAACAAGGGGTACTGAGTGGTGTATTTTTGTATTTACAATTCTCTGGCTTCATCAGCTGAGTCTCTTTTCTGGTTTTGGGAATGGTGGCCAAAAGAATATGGCGGACCCGCCGAGCCTCGCCCACTGCAACAGGTCCTCCTCTTTTCCCTGCTCCCCCTCCGTTTCCCATTCTCCTGTAACTGCGTTTAACTTCCTCCTCTGTCCAAGAGGCATTGAGTCCCCCCCCCCAATCCTCCACCACGTTTGCGGAACTTCTCTCCCTATGGCGGCAATCACCCATGCTTCACCTTTGCTTCCCTCACCGGACAATCCTTCAACCAATGTCCCATATCTCCACACACTTGGTACAGTCGGCGTCCTCGAACCCGATAGGTTTGGTCGCGCTCATTTTCTATCGGGTACTATGACTTATCGGGTTTCTCACCTACCGGAACCAGGAACAACCAATGCAAAAGTGATGCGTGCGCTTAGTGCAAATGCGACCAATGTTCTAAACCCATGCAACTCATTCATTCCCGAGGAGCAAAGAAGGAGGTAATATCCTGATCCTGCAGAGTGTCCTGATGAGCTAATCTCTCTCTCCTTTCCATCTCATGGAGATACCTTGCCGCTTGCCGAGCGTCCTTACCTCCGTCGAGAAGTAGCATATCTTGGACCACACCAAGGGAGGTGAGACGTTGTTGGAAGCTAGGGGTCAATGTGGCTGGCTCTTCATCGCCGCTATCAGTCTCTTCAGGTCCGTCTCTACAAAGATCGATGATTTCCGCAAGTGTCCTAGATTGAGTCGCCATGTTATGCTCCCCCTCAGGGTTTAGAATATCATCCAATGGCAGACGTTCAGACGGATGGATGAGTTTTGCTGCTTCTGCCGCATCTAGTTGACGAATGAGCTCCTCCAACTCGTTGAATCTAGGGTATCATTTTGTGTTTTCAATTCTTGTGTGAGTCACTCACGTATCAAGACTAACTCCATCTGCTACCCAAACAACCTCATTATCAGTATCTACTCTCCTAGACTGTCCCAACTCATCACGTTCACCAATCCAGCCTGTTTTCCGAAAGCACTTCACTATAGTCTGCACTTGAACACCTTCCCCCCATGCTTCCTCCGCCATCCTGATTGCTTCAAGAATGTTTAGAGAGTAGCATGCATTACCTCGTTTGCCCTCTCCAAATCGGTGAAGAGCTCTTCGGCAAAACTGTTTGCGGTAATGTGCTTTGAATGCAGCAATAATACCAGCATCAAGGGGTTGAACATGGGCAGTGAGGTTTGGGGCAAAGAATTCTACTCGGATGTTGGTGATCCCTGGAGGAACTTCGTGTCCACGGAAGTTGTCGACCATAAGAAGTATATGACGGTTTGTACGCCTCATGTCAAGGTCAAAAGATATGAGCCATCGGGCAAAGATGGTTCGATCCATCCATGCAGATTCTTGTGATTCCCACTGAATGCCGAGTGCTTCATAACTTGCCTTCCCAAAGCAGCGGGGCCGTTTTGCGACACCAATGCTAAGAGGTGGACGTCGATCAGAGCCATCTGCATTGACGGTAAGCACATAAGTGACCCGTGATTTGCGACCTTTGAGACCATGATGATGTTCTCTAGCTAGGGTTCTGTCAGGAGGAGAGCTGAAGTGAGCGTTATATCTTGGTGAAACACTGACTCACGCCCAGAACAGGCCCGTCTCATCCATATTATAGATATCCGCCAGAGAGTATGGTCCAGCCAACTCTGTCATCCGTTTCCTCTCCTGTTCCACATCAACTAGTGACGCTCCTTCTGCTTCCCCGTGTAGCTTCCTCCACTTGAGACCATTACGAGCTTTGACTCCCCGCATCCATCCTGTACTTCCTACACCTCTCGCACTTTCCGGTAGATGAAATGTGTCACAGATAATGATCCATTGTTCATGTATCAAACCCCGATTGAGTTTCAGACCTGAGTGTTCTGCTTGTTCAATGAACATATCAAGAGCATGTTGAGCCCCCAAATGAGCTGGTGGAACATATCGTTTGGCTGATTGCTGAGCCGTGGTACAGTCACGCCGGATCTTCTCCTCCTTTTGTACCCACTCGCTAATACGGGATTGATGTAACTTGATGCCCCATTCTCTCGAAAAGTGTGCTGCTGTGCGCGACTGGTTCTTCTGAGGCTGGTGATACCAGTTTAGGACCTCAACTTTCTGGGTGAGAGTGAGGTTGACCGCTTTGACATGAGGAGATGCTGTTGCAAGCAAAGAGGAAGAGACGGAGGCTCTAAGATTAGGCGGCTGGGTGATTGACATTTTTGTTTGGATTGCTTGACAGTCAGCTCCTCACAACGATGACACATCAGATGCGGTGTGAGACTCACTATCTTGAACCTTACGCTTCTTGTCCGCTAGCCCAAGCAATGACTCCCAGATCCCCAATGATCCCAATTCAAGCAACTCCGTATCGGCAATTATAGTATCATCTCCCCATGCCCGTTCTTTGGCCCATCTTTTCACTTCATCAACCATGAGTTGCTCATCAATGTCATTGAGGCTATGATCAAGCTCTTCATACTCTTCTTTGGTAAGGGATTGGGACTGTTGGAGGTTGGCGAGTTGCATACGTCTTCCTTGATGTGTGGCTTGCAACAACACAAGACCACGCTCAAGTCTTGAGATCACCTCTGCTGCCTCTGTATATGATGTGATCTGAGGAAGCATTGTGATGAGTGATTGTAAAGATAAGAAGAGAGAGTGAGGGCGACGACGCGAAGGCCAACATGCAGGCCAAATTTGACCACACGGGTCTTACTGCCACATTCTCGGCTAGGTCCTACAACTCGATACATCCGGCTCATTCTGCACTGTCTAGGTCGAACCAAACTTTGCGCACGACATCAAATCTCTTCACGCACGACAAAATCACGTGATGAAGCGTTAGGCATGCCGCAGAGCTAAGTTAGGCGCACGCAGGGACTTCCCTTCCGTCTCCCCCCCTCCCCAATTGTCTTGTGGTCAGAGTTGCTGACCTACACCATGATCTATGCATAAAAAGATCCTGAATTTCACACGGACATGTGAAGATTGTCTTCCTCTATTGGTCAGTAAAAGTTTCAGGCCCGGAGGTCAAGAACTGACCAAGATAGACTGATGTCCCTTCCACCCCTTCTCCCCTTGTATTTCCGGCCGTCTCAGGACCTATACTGGCTGATAGGTATCCGATGGGGGTTATCGACGGTCCTGAGAATGATGGTCAGTGTCTCAAGATCATAGCTTATCTCCTGTAAGCTGCAGAAAGTGATGAAGTGGATTGATATTACTTGAAAGTATGAGAAAAGTGGACGGGCGATCTGTGCAGAAGAAGCCATGTGGGTTTCAGACGCCTAACTTGGCTTTGCGGCATGCCTAACGCTTTATCACGTGATTTTGTCGTGCATGAAGAGATTTGATGTCGTGCGCGAAGTTTGGTTCGTCTAGGTCATAAACAAGGTCCTCATATCCGATAATTTCGCAGTTCTACCTATCGGGTTCAGGGCTACCGGGTCAACCACCACTTTGTATGGGAACCAAGTCGGTCACACCCAAAAGCTATCGTGTTCCTGGCATTATCGGTTTGTTGGCTACCGGGTTCGAGGACGCCGACTGTACACTTCCCTTCCTTCCTCCTGGTGTCCCTCAGGTCGGAACTTGGCCTAGGCCACTGCCGGCGAAGTTTGTCGGCATTTGCCGGAATAGCCCTGCCCAGTGTCGGCGGAATAGCTGCTTGCACCACAGGCTGCACCAAAGGTTGCCTTCCTTCCCCTCTCTTCTCCTCTCTTCTCTCTGCCTTACGGCTATCCACCACTAGCACTTCACTCACCCCCGTCTCCTTCTTCTTTTCCATATCCTTTTCCACCTTCCTCCTCCACAGATGATTGTCTAAGGGAATGACAAACTCCAATAACTCTCTAACAGTTCCAAACAATCGCCCATGCCTTGCGAGATTGTCTAGGAGATGCAACTTCAGTCCTTTCTTGGCCCGGTCAACCAGGTTTCTGTCATCAGTCCACTTGAGAATTGTGACATGTCGTTGGAAAGCAGAGAAGTATTCTGAGGCCAAGCCAGTTTGTTTAAGATCATTGAGGGACCGCGCCGCCGTTCCTTCTTCATCTGGGTCTCTGACATTTGTCTTGAGGTACCTAACAAATTGATCATATACCATGAGATAACAAGGAAGAGGCCTTTTAGCTAGGTCGGGCTGGACAGCAAGAAGAGGTGTTTTGCGCAAGTGGGAGATCATGAAGAAGACTTTCCTGGTGTTGTTGGGGAAAAGGTGGGAGTTCAACTCGAAGCGTACCTCACATTCGGACAGTAAGGCGGTCAACTTGTGCCTGTCTCCTCTCCAGAGGTCATCATGGCCATCATCATCCCCTGTGTCCCCTCTTCTCCGAAGTTTGCCTCACTTCCAGTGTTTTCTCTCGGTCGCGGGGTTTGTTCTGATTGGACTGGGGATCCCACGGGCGGAAGAGTATTAGGTGGAGGGGTAGGAGGGTTAGAAGGTACAGGTGCGATGAACTTGTGACAGGGTTGGTTCTTCCTCATCTTCTTAGGACCGACGGCTAATAACTTCGTGGGCTATGACCTTTAATAGGGGTGTTCTTCGTAGTATAGGTGGTGACAATAACTTCTGGGTGTAATAACTTCGTGCTCTACTAACTTCTATCACTAAGACAACAACCAGAGATCGTCAAAGATCCCTGGGAGCTTCGGTCCTTGAGTACTTCGTTCTTCCCTAACTTCGCCAATGCAGAACTTCGTTCAACCTGAGTCCCCGAGCTTCGTACCTCGCGAACTTCGTCGGGCCTCCCTAATCTCGTATCTCCCTAATCTCGTATCTCCCTAACTTGGTATCTCACGAACTTCGTATCTCACTAACTTCATATCTCACTAACCTCCTACATGACTAACTTCATCAAGACGAAGTTAGCCTCCTAATACCCTCGTGGGTGATGAAGTTCATGAACTGGGTTGCTGATGGTGAACTGATGTCCAAAGGAACTTCGTTTGATGGGAAAAAGGATGATGTCACGCGGCGCCGCGTGACAGAACTCATCTCCTTGTACTGACCCCCCACTGCTATCCCCCGCTCCAAGCTGTTATTCCATCGCTCTGCTAAGCTCCTCCAGCGCTCTCCTCTCATTCTCTTCCATTGCTTCCCTGTCTCTACTCAAACTTCAAATGGTTTATCTCTCTGGTTCCATCTGATTTCTGTACGTCTCTGAGGTTCACTTGGGTTGTCGGTAAGAGCAATCCTTGATACTGTCACAAGCGTCGAATAACTTCTCTCTAATAGACCGACAGTCGACAAACCTTGGCTAACTTGACTCTTTGGCTTTGATATCTCACCCAAACAGGAGGGCACAGATGTCAAAAGGGTGTAACTACGGCGTACTTCGGCGTAGTTACTCTAACTAGGGTTTTGCACTGGTGGCGATGTATCTCGATGTGGGTGTAGCTATCTCTATCAATCTTTCACTACTGACAATAACCAAGGATCACTGAAATTCTTCAGCGATCTTCTCAGCTAATATTATCTACTCCTTTTAGATGTCCATTCAACCCTCCCGCGCTTAGACGCTCTTCAACACACTCCGGCCAACTTTTCCGGGCTCCCGGCCCTCCTTCGAGCCACTCCACCTAACTTCACTGTACTTCTCCTTCCCTCGTCCCTAATCCGCCTAACCCCAACTACCTTCGCCGCACTTCTGCTCCCATCCTCCCTAACCTACCTAACCTTGCCTAGCTTTGCCGTACTTCTGCTCCTGATGCCCGTACACCTTATTCTCCCGCTGTACTTTGCCGTAGTTGGTCTCAGATGTCCTAGGTTACATGAAGGGTGAAGAGATTGAGGTGTGATGGGGTTTTGATGGTCAAAGGAGGGTCGTTGTGATGGAATCTTTGAGGTGTCACGACGTACTTTGTGACAGGGTTGTGGTGGTCGGTAATGGGTAGAGGGTCGGTGATGGCAGAAGGAGGGTTGGTGATGGAGGTTGTCAGGGGATGTTACAAGACAGTTTGTGACAATAGACCAATTGCTATCTCCCATCTGCAGCTCAACTACAATATGGTGTAGTACAATATTAAATGGTCATCTACTCCATGGATTACGATAGGGTTGTAACATAATCTCCTTTGATGTATCTCGTTCTCTCATTGTAAACGTAAACCTCAACAGATAGTCAGTTGGTCCTCGTGACAAAATGCATCTCATGATTCCATAAGCAGGACAATGGCGGGAGTTGCAACACTCTACTTCCCATCACTCTGCCAGCATTTCTCTACCAGCTTGACTTACAGTGTGTCATACCCATGGTATGGTCAATGTGACTGCCCTGTCCATTCAGCAGTGCCACCAGCCTGACTGTGTACAAATGCGCTCTCTGTTGCAACCTCAATTTGCTTCACAATATGCTCAGAACAATCAACAAGGAATTCTCTTATAGTTGTTTGTTCAACTTGGTGAGCTTGAAAGTGTAGTGGATCGGACCATCCCCTACATAGAAGAGACTTTACTATTGATCATATGATAGTACCGCTCTCTCATCTCATGTTCTCATGCTCCAACAGAAGCGTAGCTGTCCTTCCATAGTACGTAGTTCTCTTATTTCATAGTCTCTCTTACCCAAACGCACCGTTGTCGCCCCGTCAACGCTGCGGCCAACGTCAGCTCATTTATGCATATAAGCCGGGTCTGAGGGGGATCTCTTCCTCCATTGTCTTTCTTCTCACTTCCTCTTCTCCCTCCTTCTTCTCCTCCTTTTTCCTCCGTCCTCTCTCAGACCCTCTTTGGTTTCCTTGATACACTCTTCACTGACCATTACTGACCTTTGACCCATTGT